CCGTGTATTGATCTTTCATCAGTACTCATGTTGATTATCTATCTTCTTTGTCGCGCTCTTTCTCATTATTCTTTTACATTTCTTCTTCATTATTCTTCTCTCATTAAGTATATCACTTCTTCTGTCTTCTTTATTCTTCTGCACTCTTCTTCACTACTCTCACCTTATTCATTGTTATTCTCTTCTTATTGTTCATCTTTCATTCAATAAATCGGTGGATCTTCATTCACCATCAGCTCAATTTATCATTGTTCCGACTTTTGCCATTTCACTTTGGCTCCTGGGATTGCATCTAGTTGCTGCACAAGTCCTAGCTGCGTCTCATCCTCCCTCGCTCTGTCCAGAAGTGTCCACTTTTAGCTGACCTCTCTCTCTCCGTTTGCCTGGATGTCCTTTATGGATGGCCCCCAATGAAGTAGTCACCACAATCGCCGTGACAGGTCGCATTGTTTTAGCTTCACATCAATGTTATTATTTGCAACCATGCACAGGATTTCCAGTCAATATTCAAGCATGAATGAACTATACCGATATCTGACTTAAGAACAATGAGACATACCTTTTCCCTCGCCCGTAGCAAATTTCATCTCAAATTTGAGTTTTGATAACAAATGTACTTAAACCGAGTTCTCGTAAAGTTTGGTTCTTCGGATCGAGCTCGGTCTTGACTTCGATACGAAACGCACGAGCACTACTCGACTTTACATTAAACGGTTGAGTTTTGCTAGAAAAATAGGACCCATTTGAATTTCAGACAAACGCGAACTGTTGCGTGCGAACGCTACCAAATCTTTTATTTAGCCGCTCATATTTCGAAGCTACGATAAATACTCGGTAAATTTTCCTTAATTCAGCTAATGTATCAGAAATGGAGTGCAGATTATTTCTTAAAAACCTTTCTTTTACAGAATAATTTGATGCAAAATTTTAAAAAATTACGGATTTGAATTCTTTAACTCAAAACTCTTGTTAGGTTGTGTCATCATGTATGTATTATCCCTTTCTCTTCTTTAGTTCTATATCAGTACTGTTGTGTAATTGTGTGATGTCATCTTATATGTGTATATTCCATGTATATCTTCTTTCGTTCTACTTTATACTTGGATGCATATATGTTTCCTTTTCTCGTATGTTCTTGTATATTCGTTTATATTCGTTCCCTTTCTCTTTGTATGTTCAAGAACGTTCTCACTGAGCTTCGCGTGAGTTCTTTCCGCTCTATTGCCTTCTGCTGTTTTCGTTCCCTTCCGAACCCATATATATATACCCGTTGTTTTGCAACAATAAATCAGTGTATGCAAATAGAAGCTAATTAGAACGCCTCTTGACAAAGAACTGGGTAGTGGTTCACAACCATCTTCACTCTTTGATCAAACGTTTAAAAAACGATTTTTTTCTCGAAAAGGTCTTCAAATATCCAAAAATATTGGACAGAAAATTTGAAAAAACCAATCACAGATTTGAATTCCTCGACCCCGAAAACCGTTGGTCAAACTTCATAAAAAAAAATTTTTTTGTAAAAAAAGTCTTTGTTTCCGTAAAAAATATTAACTAAAAACTTTCAAAAAACTAATCATAGATTCGAATTCCTCGACCCGAAAACCTTTGGTCAAACTTTATCTCAAGCGCCATGACAAAAATACGAACGAACGAACATACATACGAACGAAGCTAGCTGATTCGGCGTATAACCCTCCTTTCAGTAGAGGGAATTTGATATTTGCCTTCAGAATTTGTTTGAGTCATTTTGATAAACTTTGGATGAGATTGAATCGATTTCAAAGAAGATGAATTTGATTTCAATTCTTCTTCAAAAATTGGAGCACATAATGCAATAACGAATACATTTTGATAAGGAGTAGTTGAGTTTGTGCCTGGCGGAGGAGGACCGATCGAAGGCATAAAATCACTGGTTAACTTCATAACGCTTCCTTTAACACCACCAACCATAACAAAACTAAAGAAATTAAATTAGAAGTTACGCGAAAAAAAAGATAATATCAATGTGAACTTACGTAAAAATGAACAGTAGATATTTATATCGGAATCACTGTCAATATGGAAAATAATAATGATAACTGGAACAAGGAAAAAAACATATATGTGAATTAACTAGTTAAAAATATCCAAATTTTGGCGTTTATTAGAGATAATTTTTTTTCTTAGACTCAATTATCTGACTAATTAAAAAATCGATGCGCACTTTAGAAAATATTTTCATGCAAAAGAGTTAAGTTTCTAACACAATGAACCAATGAGTTTGTGTCAAATTTGATCATAGAAGTGCTCGTGAGATGATGATACTCATTTTATTTGACTTTTTCACACAAATTCACACACAAAACAAAAGATAGAGAATTAACGTTAGTCGAAGCGTAACGGTCACAAAGTCAATAGAGATTAAAATGAAGATGATAAATTACATTTCAATATGAAAAAAAAACGCCTAGAAATAAAAATATTTCTATGTGATCAATAAATAGAAAAAGTAAAACAATCACTGTTTTCATTTATTCAAATGTTTGATGGTTATTGAATAACATGTCGAAGCATTAAGAAAATCAGAAATCAAGGGTGGCGGAAGGAGGTAAAAGCAGGAGGTGTTTCTCCGAAATCGTAAAATCAAAGAAAGTTCTAGCGTAAGTCTCGAAAGCGGGAGAAGATACCTCCTCCCCTCGTTCACATCGTCCTGTCAGCAATGTCTATTTGAAGGATTCTATTTCGAAATTTTTTAATTAAATTGAACAGTAATAAGCATTCATCAATTCGATTTCGAATGCCAAATATTTGTGTATATCAGCGACCTCTTATAAAGATCTTTATTTATTTCTAAATATCAAATTTGTTAATATAGATAATAAATATGTGCTAAATAATGCTCAATTTAATAAAAATAATTTATTTTTTGAATTATTAGACAGAATAGAAATGCCTATTTCTTGGATGTTCTTTCCAATGGTCGGTAGTTTCTTTTTCTTTTTCTTTATAGAACAAAGACTAAATAACCAATAAGATATTCGTTAAAATCAGCAATTGATTTGCACACTTGTTTATTATTAAGATCATTTGATTTTGAATTCTAGAAGAAAAATAAATAAACGACGACGAATGTCTGCGATAAATGGTTCGATTACATTCGATCTACGAAATCAATTCGAAGATCTACAAAATCAACTTACTACTGGTTCTTATTATGTACAAAATATTCTTGATCTTGCTGATATTAATACACGTTTACAAAGTAATATTAAATTTCATTTAAATAGAATTATGTTTTTTTTTAATGTAGATGTAGTTGTTTCACAAGTTCAAGAACCAAGAGAATTATTTAATATATTTCCATTATTCTACAGTATTGCCATGTAAAAATTTTCCCTTTCTTCTTATTTTTCAATAAGATTATTTTGTTTTTATAGTCATTTTGATAAAGTATCGATTACTGGACGTTCTCAAGCAGTTGAAATCTTACTTCAATGTAAGAATTCTTTTAAAGGGTGTGGGTGTTGGGTGTGAGTGTGGGTGTGTGGGTGTAGGTGAGTGTGGGTGTAGGTGAGTGTGGGTGTGGGTGTGTGGGTGTAAGTGTGGGTGAGAAGGAAGAGAAAAGGCCCACACCCACACCCCACACCCAGCCCGATCTCAAATTCTTTGGATTGTTGAATATGTATCTTTGATTTCTGTTAAAGATAAGATAGAAGAATTAGTTTGTTTTCAAAAATTACTTCAGCTTTTAATAAATCATATATTTGATTAATATGTGGAGCAAGTCGAGCCATATCAATAATAAATGTTGCCGTTGTTTTAGCAGATGGATTATCAACTTGTGTACCAACAAAATTAGTTTCACAAATTTCTCTAAATGAATACTTTTATTTTTAAAGAAAATCAATATTAAATAAATAAAACAAACTTTAATAATTGAATAGCTAATGATGTATCTTGATAATCAAGCAAAAGTGAATTAATAACAGTTGTAAGTAAACTTGAATTATTATCATAATGTTTAACTGCTTGAATAAATTGAATAGAAGCTTCTAAAATCAAAAGTAATCTTATTTAATTTATTTTTATTTAAATTAACCTGGTGCATGTTCAAATTCATTAATCATAATAATAAGAATTAATGGAAGATTTTCTTTAACAATTGGTTTTTTTGAAATATCTTCTCGACGAAGTAAATGATAACATGGTTTAGTTGCACATCTTTTAAAGAAAATTTTTATGATTAAATAGGGTGTTGGTGTGGGTGGGTGTGGGTGTGTGGATGTGAATGATTTAAAAAGAACAACACCCACACCCTTTTGCACCATTTCAAAATGCTCAACAACTTGTGATCGTATTTCAACAGGTAAGATCCACATTAAGGCAAAATTTATTGAGACTCAGTAAGAAGAAAATGTTTCTTTCATTAACTCTTTGAGATGGCAATTGAATCATGTCATTTATTTAATTTTCATGCATCATGAAGAAAATGATAAAATTAGCACTAAACAATGTGTGAATGTACTTAAGAGTTACGTAGATTTAGGTGCAATAAACAAAATAGATATTGAACCAAAGCATAAGATACCTCAACTTTATTGTATTGAACAGATCTTATTGTAAGTTAAAATTTATTTTCTTGTCAAATCACTATGATATATTTCGTCTTGGCATGAACTGATTTTAAAGAGAATGTATTTTAATAGTTGAGAATTTTCGACTACAGACAAAGCTCAAGAGATTGGATCCGAATAATTTGTTATAAAGACTTTGTTATTACTATAACGTATAGTGATATAGATCGCATATTTTACGGATGAAAGATAAGTGTTAACTGCACAATATTTAAATTGATTTCACTTTATAATTTTCAAGTTCGAATCGATTCTATGTATGCTAATCCACATAGATGGTCGTCAGCCTTTTTCTAGGCTGCAGATTCAAATCTAAATATAGTAAATCCATAGATATCTAAAGTTTTTTGCTGAAAACTGATAGGAAAATAAACTTGTAAACTTTCATCTGAGAATGACCCCAGTTTCAAGCGTAGGTACTTTGCTGATTCCATGTTCTTAAAGTTTTATACAACGTAGTATGCTTTGAAGCAGGTACATCTCAATAAAGTCCTATTAATAAGGATAGAAAGTATTTGTTTTGACTTGGATGCCTCTTATTAGATATTTCTAGAGAAAACGCTTGAATCTCATTTTCGGACGAAAATCAATAATAATACTTATTATTTAATATTTAAATGTTCTTTTTTTTGTAGGCTATGTTCAACTCTCACTGAACTTAGGATTGGCACTGAATTGTTTCTGTCTTTCGCTTTATTCGATAGTTCATCGCTTATTTCCGTTTTCAATCAGTTACAAAGACTAGAATTAATAAGAGATAATGTCTACTTTTCTTTAAAATATGCATCAAAATTAATTCAACACTTTCCCTCACGTACAAATATTGAACTTCAGGCATATTCATTTGATGCACACGTACGTGTTGCTGATATTCTTCTTGACGGATTGGTCAATTTGCTTCATCTGAAAAAATACTTTGTCAAAGATATACCTCAGGTCGAACCTATCCAATAGGATCCCATCGGATCCATAAAACATCCGACAATATCCGACCGTCGGATCCGACAGGATGTCGATAGTCGGAATCCCATGATATCCTATGGTTTCCGACGTTTTCCGACTCTAGGATACCCTAGGATTCCAATAGCAGGATCCGTCGTACTCCGACAGTTGGAAACCCGTCGGATCCGACAAAATCCGACAGCACCTATTGGTATCTATGTCACCAACATCAATGTTGAAAATAAACCTGAAATCCAACCAGAAAAATAGCAAAGTCTTTCTTAATGCTGGAATTACAGATTGAGGAAAATTCGTGAAATCTAAACTGTTATTATTCTGGGATAAACCAAGCCTTTTCTAATCGACATGACATCCATTAACATTTTTTTGATTTGATGAAGTAGATGAAGAAAAGGCAAAGTGTACAAAAGCCTATTTTATTTAGTATATTTGAAATATTTCGAAGTTTCTTATCATTATTTCTTCCTTCATAAGTTAGTTTTCTATTTTCTACTGTTTGTAGAAATTTTTTCGGATAACTCGTCTTTGATATCAAAATACTTCTTTTTCTCGCACATTAATTTCACGAAAAACGACTTTCATTCTTCTTTTTATTAGAGATTTTTTTATATTGTTTTTTCTAAATTATTCCCTTCCAATGTGACGTTGTAAGCTCATCAGATTTTTCATGAAAAGTTTTTGTTTATATTATATGTGTCAGCGTCCAAACTGAAATTACGTCCAATGTTGCATTGACGTTATTCTGTTCACAAAAATATCAGCTACTCTTTCCATAGACGTTGGATTCGAATTCAATTCGAACTATTTTTTGGAATTATTTTCGCACGATGCCGCTTTAAGTATTACAAGTATTTAGGAAGAAACTAAATTAAGATTCAAAAGAATAATCAAAAGTTTTTACGAAAGTTGTTCTTTTCTAGAGGTTTATTCATCACCCCTAAAATTTTATTCACATCTATCAAATGAGAATTGTGTCCAAGAAACTGCCATTGCGTAAACATAAGTCAAAAAAATTCGAATCAAGCGTCTATCTAAAGAGTGATCGATATTTTTGTAAACAAAACCGTGTCAATTCGAGATTGGACGCGTCCAACTGCGGATCCTACTTTCGCCTAGGCCAATCTGAAATTGCACGTAATATCAGTTTGGACGCTGACATATATATTGACACTTATCCATTTTAGATTATGATGTTGTATAAAAATTATAGTAAAGTATGTTTTTTTTATTAGCTGGTTATTTTCTTGTTGCTTCAATTATTTGTTTTGAATGGATATGGTGAGTGAATTTTTTGGAAATAATTTTTCTCATGTTCAATGATTCTTTAAAGTTTAACAAAACTGATGTATATAGAAAATAACATAGGCAAAAAAATTGGTAAAATAGCATTTCTTAATTTTCATTAGATAGGAAGATTTTGTTGAATTGTAACGAAGTAATAACATTCGATTTGTTTGTTTTTTTCATATTCAAATAGATCTGGATTTTCTGAGCGAGAATATCATCTTAAAAGTTATTGTTATCTTCATTCTATATTTGCATTTTTGTGTAGATGGATATTGATCTAGAAGATGCATTTCAATTGTCCTGCGAAAAGTTTCAACAGCGTTTAAAAAAGAAAAGAGAGAATTCTCGTCGATCTCGTTTAATATCATGAAGGCATTGAGTTAAATTCTTCAGAATTAATTTCTTCGTCTTCATGTTCATCATCGACAATAGATAAGCCGCCTACGTTTCTTTCGCTCACTGATGTCGACACTCCAAATGATGAAGATGACTTAATATATTTCGATATTGATGAAGATATTCAATCGGTTAATAGTATCGAGGAAATCGACAAATCGGTAGTTTTAAATTTATGTGATGATCCTGATAAAATGGTTGAACAAGAAGTTTCATTTTATTCTACCGAAGTTCTTCATCCATATACTGAAACACTTACAAATACATTTTGTTATCGTCTTGTTAATATTTTTCGTGCATCTAGACTGTCAAAAACCGAATGTCGTACATTTTTTGATCTCATTCATTCTGCTCTACCAAATCCCAACAATTTACCATCCAACATGAACCAATTATTGTCAATGTTTCAATTGAAACATAACTTATTTAAAAAAAGAAAAATTTGTCTTTTATGTTATAAAAAAATAGGTGATGATGTAGGCTTTTGTTCTGATTGTCCAACGTCCAATGAAGCTACTACTGCTATTATTTATGATTCAGATATTAAATCCATTCTTTCGTTATTATTGAAAAAGCTTTGGAAAAAAATTCGCTCATACAAAGAAGAACTTCAAGCAAACAATGATGCATCGTATACCAGTGATATTGGTTTTGCTTATGCTTATCAAAATTTATTACGTCAATTTTCTAATGAAACTTTTATTTAACTTTTTCTTTTTGTGTGTAATTGATTTAAAAATTATCAGATAGTCAAAATAAATAAAAGCTGATGAACCAAAGATATCTTCAGTAGTATATGAATTTGTGCATTATCCATTAAAAATAAAAAGTTGAGACTGAAACATCAGTACTGCAAACAGAATCAAGCTCGGTTATGAAAATAAAACCTCATCGGATCTTGTGGGTTCCAATATTTTCCGATTGACGGATCCAACTATCGGAAATCGTCGGATCCGACATCCGACAACTTCCTGTCGGAATCCTGCACCAAGGATTCCGATGATTTCCGACAAGATCCTATCGGAAGTTGTCGGATCCCTGTCGGAAATCATGGGTTTATTTGGGATATCCTATCGGATCCTGTCGGATCCAAGACTGGGATTGTTCGACCTGGGACCATTCGACAACTTCAACGAAGATCGCGTCGTTGTCATACTTCAGGAACAATCATTGGAAATTTATCTCGAAGGACTTCATCCATCAATGCTTTTTTTTCTTCTTGAACAAGTGTTAAATAAAACAAAGTGAATGGGTAATCTATTCTGAAAAGTGAATGCGTAGTCAAAGAAAAACCTGTCTGCCATAGAGAAAATCAGTTCTGTACACGATATAAATGTTTTACCAAACGACTTCTCCTTGTTTTTCTTTAATTCTTCAAGATCATGATAGAATCAATCTCGTGTGACTTGTTTCATATTTAGGTATTCATGAAATTGTTTTCTTCACTATAGTACAATCGAGAGAAGTCGATATAAGTATATATGTCACCATAAGTTCAGGTTGAATTATTGTGAACAACATGCCACATCCACTCAATGATTACATTCGAAAACTCAGGAATCCAATTACTAAATCAATATCAATCATTTACATCTTTTGTTTTTTTACGAAAACGCGTCATCCATCTTAGCTGTTCGATACGAAAGTATTAGATCCTATTGCTGTTGTACGTCCGTCCATGATCTTTACATTTATGTCCAAAATTATGCTCATTTTTATACAGCATCGATTGAATTCATCGTCAATTTTCCTTTTTTCATTTTTTTTTGCAATGATATTGTATCCGAAAGAATATTAGAACTTAATCGAAACTAGATTTATTATATACATTATAGACACAAACAGACATTGTAATATTTATTCGCACAACTAATTCTTCAACATCAATTGGTTTATAAGGGCGCCAGGAACATTGACCGAACTTTTGAATAAATCTAAGCATTTAGTAATTTTTTTTGCCTTGCGTTTCGTGACGAACAAATGAACGACTAGAGGACGTAAACAGATTCAAACATGTAAACAAACGAGGATAATTCGGTCTATGTATGTCCTTCGTTTCAGTTCAGAGAATATTCGTTTCTATCTATTTAATAGTATTCAGCAAGAACATACATTATTGTCACTTATTATTTTATGTTGCAGTGTAAAATACCATTGTTTCCTGTGCTTTAGTCTAGTCTTAAATGTACATATGTATTATGTCTGATGCGAATACGAAAAAAAGATGAATAGATTGCAAAGAGATACGCAGAAAATTCGATTAAATTGGAACAAAAAAAGAGATCGAGTCAAATACATCAGCCAGACGTATTTAGTGGACAGAATGAATAAGAGAATATATATGAATAGATGACACGAAAATGTGTAGAAAACAAGTGATAATGATACGTTTACAACAATACTAGGAGAGCATACTGATAGTAAAATTCAGTCACTATTTTACAGCATTTGATTATAAATAACCTAGAAAGAACGTTCATAGATTATTCTTGTTTGTATTTCAGATGTAGCGCTTCATTTTTTCTAATTTATGTGTTCCTTCACCCCATGTGGTAAGCTACAAGTTATATTTTGCAGTTCTCATCTTAAAATATTATTATCATTTGATAGTTGTTTATTTCTACCATTTCTCTTTTTTTTTAGGAGGATGTTGTTTAGCGTGTGGATTTGGGTGCGTGGGTGTGGGTGTGGGTATGGCTGTGCTTTTTCTCTTCACCCACACCCCACACTCTCCAACAATCCTCTGTATCTTCGTTTTATCTATGTCATTCAACGTGTTCTCTGTCTTTGTGAATGACTAATTTTCTTTTCGTCTCTACTGTATCCTACTGTTATCTTTTTATTCATAGCATCTGGTCGTTTACAATGATCGATTCCTAAGATGACTTGATATAAAATAGAAATATCCATGGTCGATAAATCCGATAATATTTAATAAATATTTTCATGTCTAATAAACAATAAAATTTAGAGTAATTTCACAATCCGATCTACGTTATGTCGTAATGACCGCTTTATATACATATGTATTTTTAGACCAATGAAGTTTTGCCGTCGTATTAATAAAGAGATGTTGCTTTTACTACGATGTAGGCGCTGCCTTAGATACTCAGTCTTGCTTTCACAGACTTCTACGCTTTATTTCATTTGTCAAAATCACCATAAGACATTTTTAAATTAAACAATATAGTTCCGGAACAGAAATTTGAAATACAGTCAACTACTTCCTAGTTAATGGAATAGACGAAGAACCAAAGCTTTACATAAAAATAAGTGAGGATGGCTACGAGAAACGCTATTGGTTTATTATGTGTTGGTCAATTCATATTCGATGACAGCAAAGTTGATTCTAATGTCTAATGGTTTTTAGAGTCAGAGATCTATAAGTTTTATTTAACGGAAGATGGATTATTTTAAACTGATCCAATTGAAATATTATCCTCTAAACTCGGCCAAAAGATCCTTTCATGGCAGGTAATCCACCTTGGGATCTGCTACAATTATACTACATAAGCGAATCATTTTGAAAATACCAACGCAGAGACCATCAGTAATTTCTTGTTTTGCAATATTTGAAAATAATGATTACTAATCAACTCTTGTTGCTTTTGATACGAGAGCTTTTTGATCGTTGTTAAAAGATGAAACCACAAATGTCAAAGACCCAAAAAAAGACGCTTTGGTGCGACATTGTTCACTAGAATCGAACAAAATAAATGAAACTTGATAAAGGAAAATTGAAGATAATATTAAAGTGAAAAATGAGGATGCCATTTCTATGAAGTATTCAATATTAAAAAATTGTTAACTTTTCTATTTGTGTTTATTGAACGGTTAGTTTGCAAAATGTTTAAAAAAGATTGTTAATCCCTATATTCTATATGAACACTAAAATAGATAATAGAGAGAAGTAGTTCTTTTTATTGTCTCTTCTTCGAACACTATTAATCATCTTCGTCGTTGTTGTCTCCGCTCTCGTTTTTTTCTTCCTCATCGTCGTTGCCTCCGCTCTCATTTTCTTCTTCTTCATCGTCGTTGCCTCCGCTCTCGTTTTCTTCTTCTTCATCGTCGTTGTCTCCGCTTTCGTTTTCTTCTTCTTCATCGTCTTCGCCCTCGTCTTCTTCTTCCACATCTTCAATATCAGCATCTTCTTCTTCATCGTTGTCGTCGTCGTCGTCGTCCTCATCATCTAAATAATTGACGTCATCTTCATCTTCCCACACATCGGCTCCCATGTCCTCTACCGCTAATTTTTTCACAGTCCAAGCCGTATTGCACAGTTTTTTATTTCCCATGTAATCATAAGGTACATAACAATAGCCTTTGTCACCCTAGTTAGTATGAAGACAAATATACAGTAAATGAAACAGATAGTAATTGGACGACATACCCAATCTTCCCCCCATGAGTTTCTTACAATGAATGCTCTCGATGCATCGCTGTAGCCTGATGCTAGAACGGCATGTCTACAATAAGAAATACAACATGCCATTATCTGTTGTTATATCACTATTGCACAAACTTGAAAATAAAACTTATTAAAATGAAATTAATTTTCACAATCCTCAGAAAATGATATCGACGACTTCCCTGAAAATGAGTTAGCTCTGCTTTTTGTATATTTTATTGAGATAACTCTAAGCGTGCGTATCCATTACCTTCCATGTGTTGAACGTGAAGTTTCATCTGCTTTAGGCATTGAAACGATTCCTTTCTTTCTTGCTTTGTCAAATGATTTGAACAAGTTAAGACTAATTATCATTGGAAATCCTTGAGCAAGGCAAGCTTTCATTTCGTTAATATCAATGTCAACTTCAAGTGCCTCATTAATAGTGTATTCTTGGGCTGCAGCATAACATTCTTTCTTAGGCTTGCTATTGACTTTGTTAATATTGTATGGCCAAAGTGATTCGAGACACACACCTAATTCTTGCATACTTTCGACTGCATCCGTAATGGACGAACCTTCATCACTGACTCTTTCATTTTCTTCCAACCTTCTAACACGACTGTTGTAATAGATGAAAAGACGACTAATATCAATTTTTCGTTCAGTCGCTTTGTGATTTAAATATTCATAAGCCCCAGCGATGGCATTGGCTGTGCTGAAAATAAAGAATGTTTTACCGACTAGAGTTTTTGTAAAAAGCCATTCTTTGCTAGTGCGAAGGAGAAATTGTACTTGACATCTGATAATGTGATTGGTAGCAAAAAATATTCTTTATTACTACATGTTTTAAAGACTCAAAGAAACATTGCAATGGTACTATCGATTTGTATTTACAAAAGCTCATTGTTATTTTAAAAATATACAAGTATTACAATGATATTGATATTTATCTGTTGTTGATCATTCGTTTATATTCGTATATTTGCTGATGTAAAATCATGGGTACAATTTCTGATAATTTACTGATTTATGCGACTGAAATTCTATTTGATACTTAACAATAAACATGAAAATCTTTTACTGACCAACTGTTAATGTTCGATTGATTTTCAACAGTAGTCATCCATGGTCGAAGATCGACTTTTGATGGAAGTTGTGAGGCCGTATACTTAACGTGTTCGGAAAAATCTTTGTGTAACGATTCTTTTTGAGGCTTACGACACATTTCTTTATCACCATTCAGACAAAATCGTTTTTTGGTTTTGTGATCGACCAAATAAGTTTTCTTGATTAATCTTGATGAATTACCAGATGTTGATCTGAATAGTGAAAATAAAATATTTTCTTCGTTTCCCTTGTCGGGAAATTCCTACTTCGAAGGCATTTTAAGGTGCAATTTAGTTGGCTCTGTCCGTCAGATGTTTACTGTAAAAAAAAACAAGAGTACTTAGTTGAAATTGTATTAACACAGATCCTATGCAATGAAAATGTGAAACACAATGTAATGATTGTTATCAATAATTCTTTTTTATTCGATATATTTTAAAATACATTTCTTTATCTTGTTATATATTAGATGATATAGAGCTGTAATAAACAAGTAGTACATAGATTCTACTCAGATACTAATGATATACGGACTGCGGAAATTATATGTTAGAGAAGAATAGTGCACTCGAATATCTACCTTGCATAACTTCAACACTGTTTTCACATCGGGTTTTGCAAAAGAATTTGACAATCGCATTGAAAAGCTCCTAAACTATCGATGTTATAATTATAGTCATAATTTATATTATTCGACAGAAAATTTGCATAATGACGACTATAAACAGTAGACCGAGTGAACGACTGGCAATATTCAGAAATCGAAAGTAACTAATCGTTTGTCAAATGGCTTCATCATTGTCAAGGAGAAAAGTCTAATATATTACGCGTGTGAAATCTTGCGATAAAATAAGTACTAAAACTTTCAAAGATCAAAAAACACAATTGGGAAGTCGTAAAATTCTTATTACAAGATGTTCCATGATTTGTATGAGAAGAATCCTTCAAAGAAAAGCATACTTCACAGAGGATGTGAGACATGGATGTGAAATTAGGAAAAAATAACATTCCAAAACAAAATTATCTGCCTTGTAAAAGAAATTGTCCCCTAACAGATGAACGGAGCAATAAAATAACTAATCAGTTCATTGGAATTTCTGAAAAATTTATAAACAGAAGAAGCCTTTTGTTCATTCTTTTATGAATAATGGGATGAATTCAAGTGCTTATAAGTCAAATTGATTTTGAACTTCATTCAAAGGCAAGGCTTACTACAAGTCTATACATGAAGATAAGTTAATAATTTATTTGCATCTGTTATTACATCTGATGTGAAGAAATGATTTTCAGTCATGAATATACTTGATTTTGTATACATTCTACCATAAAAAGTGTTCCAATGCATCTATTTTTATGATGTCTCCTAAAATATTTTCAGGTGAAGTGGCATTTGGAAATTTAGGATAGATGGAATTTCACGTCTCAAGTGGCAACAGCATACTTACCGAAAAATATCTTGTCGAAATAGAAATCGAAAGTAGAGGGATCATCGAACTCTACGATTGAGTATAGCAAGGCCTTTTAATTTGGCCGTATGTTATTTGAAAAATAGAGCATTTTACATACCTTTTCGGAGTGCTCGTCTTCCTTCCAAACGTTTATTTTTCGTTTGACTCAAAACAAAATATTTATATTAGGACGACTGCATCTTCGTTGCTTAAAAGGTGTCGAAATACGAGTAGACCAATTAAAACATCAAAATATGCACATCATATTGCTTGATTCATGATGTATACCGATATCATGCATGCTAATATATTTTTTAAAACACGATGGATAATGAAGCAGAAAAATGAAAAAATGCGTCCCGTGTAACCCACATAGGTAATTTGGACGCTATTGTAAGCATATGAAGAAAATAGGCAAAAACGAACCATGCGTGTAAACATCACGTACTGAGTTTTGATTCAATTGAAGAAAAAAACTGACTTTCTTCGATTTAAAATGTGTAAGTTAATATCACGATGTTTAGAAATCAGCTGAGTTAAACTAGGAATGTTATGAAAGGTTGTCATAGGTATACAATAGATGATCTATATCACAGCCATCTACAATTTATCTTGAATAAATATTCTATGATATTTTCAATAATTGAAGAGAAACGAAGTATATTAATTGTAAAAGAAAAACACGCACATAATATTTGTTTTCGAACGCTTTATTCTATGTCGAAGTATTCAGAATACTACTTTCGTCAATATCAAATGCAATGCTAATCTGTGAGTATGTCAGAAGATTTGAATACAATACTATTTTGTTTAACACTAGGGCTACCAAGCGGGGTTCATCCGGGCTCCACTATAGGAAACAGACATTTAACAAAAATATTTCGGTATTTTTACTACTTTTAAATATTTAGGATCTGGGTGTTCGAAAAGAAAACATCAGCACTCACCCACGCCCACATTCTAGTTATTTAAGCTTCACTAACCTGTAAGGTAGAAGATCCGATAGAAAACAAATTTTTCTCGATATTTTCTCAGTGTTGGAAATCAGAATCAGCATTTTTATTGAGTCAAATGTGCCAGTTTTATTCATCGTATGTTCTTATACATTATATAAAAAGACATAGTTATTTTAATGCTGATTATTTAATGCAATATGAGAAGAAACATTACTAACACTGTACTCATTATATCAATTCAATACGAGAATGTCATAGTGACCCGCTACAATAATTAGTGAAAACTTAGCAGCATGTATCTTGATTTTAGGAACTACATGCAATATTGTTTTGGTACATCGGTTTGTAAATGCTTTTGAAATTAAATGTAATTCAAATCTTTTCTCTAGCTTAGTGTGTCTTTATTAATAGAGGTGTAAGCTGCGCGGCTGAGCAGTAAGAACTGCAGTCGTCATCTCCGATACTTGAATGCGAAAATCGCAACATTTTTTTATCGATTTTCGTTTATGTTTGAATCGTCAAATTTCTTCTTAATCTTTCCGATTGCTTAGATGTACGAAAAAGTAATACTCTCTGTCCAGAATAATAAAAATAAAAAGCACTTTTATTATGATTAGTGATTTAAATTTTTTAATATCGCGAAAAACTGTAGTAAAATCGAATGAATGTTCAAGGATCAGTTCTCTAGAACATTCAGTTTTGCTTTTACTGTGACAAGAACATTTAAAAATTTATCATGATGTGAATCGATGTTTTTCTTTTGAAAGTTTTCTTAGCTTGCAAAAAGAAGTATAGATTAAAACAACGTTTAAAACTTTACTAGGTTTTTTTAGTTGGTGACTAAATTGATAATACTGTAGTTGATTTGCTTACATCCCTAGATGCTTATAACAGACAGATTTGATATATCAATTAGCTTATGTTATTATTCGGGTACGTGACTAGAGCTGAACTTGTAAGAAATACATTGACGATCAGTGTAGGAGGAATTAAAAAAGAAGTCGACGATTAATCAGAAATATATGAAAAGAAAGTAATGAACAACACAATATTCATCGATTTTGATCAAGGTTCGAAGATATCAGAATGCCAATATGAAGTTTTTCAATAGAAATTTTCATTGTAACCGACAATGACAACAAACAAAGAGTATTCATGCTCAAGACTTATTATCACTTTCAAGAAAAAACTCATAACACTGAAATATGTCATGAAATACCATATAGGTACGAGTACGATGTTTACTACAAGGATACGTGCGACAGTCACCAACTATCATTTTTAAATGAAACATGCACTCTCTCTTCTAACAAGAAGGTCTTCATGTACTATTGAAGTCTTTGAAGTTCTACAAATAAACCTAAACAAGCAAGTAATCGACAAGATTACCTATGCGATAAAGTAAATTCACAAGAAATGACGAGAATTAGAATAAACGTTTCCAACAGTGTAACATATCCACGAAAATAGTACCCCAGCAGATCCTCGTTGAAATATAAGAAAAACAAGAGTTGTCTTTAAATCTATTTAATAGAACAAAATCTAGATCAATTCAAATTATCACTGATGAATTTTATTGATTAAAAAAGACAGAAAAAAAAAATAATAATAATAAACATATTTACACAACTGATCCTACAGGTTCTCCTAGATGATGTTCGGATGAATTGTTATAAATTTTTTCAAAACGTTCCAAATATTTATTAATATCATTCATTGATAAATTACGTTGATAATCTTGTTTTATAGATACTTTTTCATTTGAATATAATAATGGAGGTGGAAGATGAATTTGTTCTAAAAGTTTTCGTTGATTATCATTTGAAATCGTTGGATAAATTCGTTGTTCACGATTAACAACACGAGGTAATGATGTTGTTGTTGTAATCTGAAAAAATAAATAAATAAATTAGACAAAACAACAATTTTTATTAATTCTTTTTTTTTTTGTTTTTCTATTTAAATTTCTTACATATTCATTATCAATTAAACAGCTATCAGGTGTTCTTGGTGAAAGATTTGATAAAGATTTTTTTGTTGATAATTTACCTTGATAACAATTAAATAAAAGTATTATAATAATTAATAAAATAATTATTGAAAATATACAAGCACTAATTAAAATAAATGTTGTTGAAATTATTATTGGAATTTCTTGATGATTTAATTTATTATTTGATATTAAATTAAATATTATTTTTTGTCGAGTTATTAAACGATTTGGTTGACCAAAATCAATTAAAATTACAGTAAAATTATATATTGATTGATTAATATTTTTAAAAAATATTCGACCTGTATAACGTTCAATTTCAATATTTTCTAATGAATCAATTTCATATTCAATTGATGGTGGAAATAAATTATTTTGATCATTAAATGATAAATCAGGATCATAAGCTTGAATTTGATAAGTTAATTCTGATGATGAAATTTCAATAGAATGTTTTGTTAAATTTTTATATAATCGAGGTAATTGTTTATTAATACCAAAATAAATACGTATTGGTATTGAACAACTTAATGATGGTATTTGAAAATCAATTGCTCTAATATAAAAATCATATGAATAAAATGAAAATAATGATGATGATTGAATTGTAATTGATCCATTCTTTTCATCAATTAAAATTTCATTTGGTTTTGATGATATATATTTTACGTAAGATGGTAATGATGGAAGAACAAATTTTGATATATTATTACTTGTTAATATATAAAATGATTGAGAAAAATATGGATATATATTTGATATTGAATATGAATTATAAATATGTATACGAACTGTTATTGTACATTGATTAATCTATATGAAAATAAATAAATAATAATTAGAAATAATCACAATATCAATTGACTTGTCAATATAAAATTTCTAAGCACGAATCAATCGATTTTTTTACTGAAAGATTTTTCACTCACTACAAACGATTACTACTTTCATTCTTCTTGATTTGGATAGTTATTTCATAGGTCTTACAGTTTTCAAGGAAAAAGGAATATATCTTTCTCGAGTGTTACTGAATGTTCCTATGATAAACTACTGATTCTTTGGAAAGCAAGAGTATTTCAAAAAAGATCATGTTTATTTTTGTTAAAACTTTCAAGATTATCAGATCCGTCTATACGATAACAATTCCGCAAATGATGAATAGTTTTTGAGCTGAGACTATGTGCAATATATAGACTCATATGAGCTATGAATATCATTAAAAGACTTCTAGCTTATTGCTACGGAAATACTGTAGTTTTATGATTTTTTTAACAGATTAGAAATTCTTATTTCAGCATAAAAACACAATAAATTACTCTTGTTGCAGTATATTTCTGTACAAAAAAAGAAACTTCAAATCAAAATTTGAAAACCAGCTTTTCTGTTATTCCTGAAAAGGACCACGACACTCATTTTAAAAATATCGTATAAGTCATATAGTCTCGGCTAAAAGGCGATTTATCAATTGCAAAATTTTCTGTATATAGACTCTGTGTATAAGACAAATCCTAATGAGATATTACAATCGACAAAACGGATAAGGATTGCTTGGCCTTCCGTATAGAATTTTAAACATTTTATTGAAATTTTAACCTATAGAGCGATATTCAAAGAAGCATTGGCTAACAATATTTTATTAATCGATATATCTGTTTGTAACTAAAAATTTTCTTAAGTTTTCAACTCAATCTTACTTCATTTGTTTGATTATCTTTAAGAATTAATTCATAATTTTGTTGTTGTTTAATATTTAAATATTTTTTAATAATTAAATTATAATATTGATCGATATGAAATGTATTTGTTGAATCAATTAATATTAATTTTTTTGTTTTATTATTTAAACATATATGAGAATAATTATTATTTAAAGAAATTTTTTCATTTAATAAAATATTTTCATGAATTTTAATAAATATTATATTTGAATATTGAAATAATTTTTCTTTATTTAAATTAAATATTAATGAATAATTTTTTATTGATATAATTAAAGGATTATTTATATTCCATACATAAATAGAAATATTTATTGATAAATTTTCATTTTTAATTATATTATTTGTTAATATACGATTTAATAATAATGAATTTAAATTAAAATATATATTTAATGTTTTTTTATTTAAATAAAATATATCATATAATGATGTATTTATATTAAATGAATAATTTAAATAAAAATTTTTTTCTTGTTTATCAATAATTATTAATTGACCAATAGGTAAATTAAGATTATCAATTGAAATAATATTATTTTTTTCATTATTATTATTTAATTTTAAATTAATATCAAATAAAAATGTTAATTTAAATTCAACAATACATTGTGTTGATAAACGATATGGTTTACCATAATCAGTTATATTAATAAATAATTTTGTTTCATTTGTATATTTCCATTCTGTATAATTAAATATAATATATCCATTAATATGATCAATAGAAAATCCTGATAAATAATTTATTAAATTATATTCTAATTTACTATTATTATTTTCATCAAGATCAGTTATATTTAATTTAAATATTGATATTGAATTAATATTATTAATAGAAAATATTGTTTTATTATGTTCACATTGTGGTGAATTATCATTTATATCTTTAATTATAATAATAATATCAATTGATATATCTCGTTGATATTTATTTTCAGCAATAAGACGAAGTAAATAAAGATTTTGTTTTTCACGATCAAATTTTTTTAATGGTTTTAATAATAAATTTTTATTATCTAATTCAAATAAACCGTCAGGTTTATTCCAATTATGTAAATAAAGTGAATATGTTATTATATCACCATCAGCATCATATGCATGTGGTAATTTATATGTTTTATTAAACCAATATTCATCATTTTCTTCAATTTCAATAATTGTACGATTAACAAAAAATTTTATTGAATTATCATCAATATTTTTTATATGTATTGGAAGTGTATAAACAATAATTGTATCATAATTTGATACAGCTATACTAATTGATATAAGACAATGATTAATATTTATATTTAAACATATTTGTTCAAAATCTATACGTTTTTTAATATTAAGTGTATGACGTATATGATCAATTGAAAAAAGATCAAGTTCTGAAGAAAATGGTTTAACAAGATCATATTCTAATGATTGATCTAAATTAGGAATTTTATCATTTAATAATGTTATTATTGTACCAATTGGTAATTCTTCATTAATAGATATTTGATTAAGTTGTTTTATTGTTTGAGAATGAATAATAATAAATATGAAGAAAAAAGGAAATAAAATCATATTTTATCTAAAACAAAAAAAAAAGATAAATAATAATAACTTATAGTTATATAGACGGAACAGTTATAGAGATCAAACATTTTTGAATTTACGATAGAAAACTAGAAATGTGCGAAATAAATCGTTCTAATATCTTCTAGTTGTACAACTAATTTTTCACATAAAATAAAATACAAAGTTTCAGAAAATATCTATACGTTACAATCGATTATTTTCTAGGATTAAATTGACTCGAAATAAATAGCGTACATAATTTTTTTTATTTCATTCTCACACTTTCGTGGAAAAAAAAGAATGATATGTTGTAGAACTATAATACAATACTTTTTACCTTCAAGCTTTTTTTTACATTATAATATAAAACTTAGTCATGAAAAATCTTTCTAATAACCTTCTGGCATATTTGTAACTAAAAAATATCGTCAGCAAAACAATAAGTAACCTTAATGGAATATATCTTTTTAAATTTAATTAATCTCAAGGTTAAAGATTACTTTTGAGAGAATTTTTCTGTTTGTATTACTTACTGAGTAGACGTTTTTTTTTTTTATTTATTTGTAATCGATTATCAATATAAGAAAATTTACGAATCAAACTTGATTGTAGTATTTAGAAGAAGAAAAAAAACGAATTTATATATTCACTTGATTGAAGATAAGCTTAAATAATTTTCAATGAGGAAAAACTCCGTAACAGAATGATTATAATTGGCTTCATAGTGTGCATGTCACAGTGGAACAATTCAATCTGAAATTTTCTACATATATATGTCTCTTTCCTTCTAATTACAATTTATTCGATTGGAAGATGAAGATATCGGATCAATTTAGAGAGAATAATTCACTCTCACAAAAAAAAAAGAAAGAATTTAGTTTCTCTCTCTCACTCTTTATTGTGAACAAAAAAAAAAGCTGTGATAAATAAAGTCTATCATTCCAAGTATTGGGCACGTGTTGGTCATCTATTGTCACTTTATCGCCTTATCCGGTCTATGTCTCTTCTTCACACATCTTCAAATATAAATATTCATTCATATTTTCGTTTGGGATTTTAACAGCTTTTCCTCCTTCTTTATTTAAATTGAACAAGTGTGACTAAGCTCACCGGCGTCGTTGTTCTATTGCTCATATGCAAATCAATAAAAATAAAACAAAACAAAAAAAAAAGCGAGAAAGAAATTAAAAATGCGGTACGGAAGTAACTTCTTTCTTTTTTGTTGCTAAATCTCAACCAAACGTTGTTATTCATCATCATCTCCATGTAAATCTTATCGTTAAATAAGATAAAAAGAAAAGGAGGAGATAATGAATTACTTAAATCATTATTCTCAAATAAAAGTTAAAACCTTGAAATTTTTCATTGATCAATAGTTCAATTTCTGAACCTATCGAACAGAGTACGGATTAAAACAATTATATATCAATAGAAAAAAAAAAAAAGAGAGACTCTATTCAACTTAAGAACTTTAAGTGATACACATTGTTGAAAAAGTATTCGAATCAAACAAAAAAAAAGAAACATTGATTCTATCTAATTAAAAATTTTGAAGAGAAGTCTTAATAGTACAAGAAAATATTGATAGTTGAATTCGATTAAAATGACTGAAGTAGAAAAAGAAAAAAAAATAATCATAGATTTGTTTATTAATAATTTGAACGGTATTGAACATAAAAGAAATCTGATTCTTTCTTTTAGTTTGTAATGGATCATATACACACTAAGACAAATAGAACCACACGATGTTTGTTGATTCAATATGATAGAACGTGACATATGATGAGGATAGAAATATACACACATCTTGTGTAGGTAAAAGAATAGAAATGCTATAATAAGAAATATATTTCTATTTGTAAAAATAAATTTTAAAAGTTAAAAAAGAAAGAATTATTCTTTCTGAGAAAAAAAAAAAGACAAAAATAAACGTTTTTACCTTTTCTTTTAAGTTGAATGAGACTTGTACTTATGTACATTACTTACACAATCAGTCTGTCTGTGCTCAATGGGGCGTCATCGTTCAATCGTTGTCGTCCTATATATAACAATACATACATATATATACGTATGCACAGGTCTGGCTCGCAGCATATAATGACGAGAATTGTTCTGACAAAACATACATATTTTTCAAGTATTCGATGCCGAGAAAAAGGCCCGCCTGTATTATCGCGATAATGGATAATTCAAGAGACTTGAAAATGTATAAAGAACAGCAATTGAATGAATGACTCAATCAAGCGCCACAAATTTGTTCTCTCTTTCTTCTTCGTACTTTTTTTTTTAACATTTGATCTTAAAAAATTATAGACTTGTTCTCTCTCTCTTGCTCTTATTCTATTATTTCTGGTTGTATGAATATATTTTTAATCATAACCAATCAGTTCACATGAGATTGAACACCTGAATGAATAAATAGATATTGTACCGATTGAGAAGCATTATATGTTAACTAGATGAATGGACAGTCAGTCTGATAATTAGTACGATCGTTCTTCCGCTATTCTCTAATGACAAGTTCATAGAAATAATGTGACCTTTTTTTTTTTTTCTTTCATTGATCGTTACTAGTGTTAATCGATTTTACTTATATCCATAGAGATCGATATTAACATACATGTCATTTATATTAAGAGAAAAAAAAATCTACTTGTCAATTTTCACAAGATTTTTATGTTAGGAATGTTAAACAATTTTTTTTTTTGTTAGAGTTTATATAGATTAATCCACTTATATATATATGTATATCTTGTTTCATCATCAATGAATTTTGTCTATTGATGAGTATGTGTATAGATATTTATATGTACTAAGTATAAGTTAAAGTGAGTATCATTAAAACTAAAGAGGAAACAAGAGGGTGTGGTGAAATGGTGTACAGATGTATATGTATTTATTGTTTATTCGGATGATATTTGCCTGAAGCAAAAATCTTCAAAAAAAAAATGAAGAAGAAGAAGAAAAAAATCAGCACGCCATAAACATACGATACATTAAAAAAAAAGCAGAGGCTATAATTACCGAATGCTAAATAATGAATACACGCGATCATTCTTTTGATGACAAATATTTAAAGTGACTTTCAATATGTTAGTTATAGATAGTGAAAAAAACAAAATTTTACATTGTTATATCATTAGATTTAGATCTTTTCATAATTCAACTATAATAATGTTTTAAATCAAATGAAGTCAATTTCAAATTTAATCTTTCAATGAGAATAAAAAATTAAAATTAAGAGTATAAAATTCTCATATATTATGAAATGATTATGTTCAATTTCAAATTCATAAACTATGCTACAATGAAAATATTGATCTATTCACTATTATGTTCGTCATGTTACTACATGAAACGAACTATTTAGCCATTTCAATAGACTGTTGAACATGTATAGAATTAAATACAATCATGTCGTAAAAATTCGTCATGAAAAAACATAATACATATTTGTTAAACAGTTGAAGCGATTTATAAATTTTTTTGATTGCATATTCTTTAAAGTTTGATTTTCATATAATTTAGTCTAATAATAAGTGTGTGCTAGATACATTAATTTTCACGTCGTATTTATAGATAAATTTAAATCTTCTTTATGAAGTTAGTAGACAAATTATACTTCATTGTCTTTGTTGGAGAATCATCATTCATAAGACAGATGATTGTTTCAATTTAAAAAAATCAATAATGGCTTTTTCCATGAACATGATCGAATTTCTTCCTCTGTATTTTTTTGAAGATAGTTGAAAGTATTATCGATTGTTAAATCTTATAATTTATTTATTACTTATGTAAACTAGATAGTAACATATTAAATGTTAAAGTATTTGATGATATTTAAAAACTTCTTCCGATAGAATAAAATACTTTTATATTATGATATTTACATATTATTTGTATGCACTATTATAATAAATAGGTATTTTTAACAGTCTATTTCTTCTTTTGTATAATAATTTAATAATGATACGAAAGAAAGCAATAAAAGTAAATACACTAGACGAATTATTCATTTTTTTTGTATTATTATTAAATTGTTATATTTGTGAAAAATCGCACTGGTGCGAAATACTAGTCTACTCTTATCTTATTCTACATAGCTTTCATCTTACTCTTTCTCAATCGTATTCTAGTTTGGAGATTCGAAAAGTAATATAAATAGGAAAATAGTATGACGTTAGAAATATGCAGTGTACAGTAGAATAACTTGGCATATTGTCAGTTGACAGCAACTAGAAACTAACATTTTCTTATTATTTATACAATCATTTTATATATAATCATAAATTTTTGATGTTTTTCGATATCATACTTGTGTAGCCACGATTTGTTAATTTCTTTAAACGTTATTTATATAAATAAATCTTTGAATCAGTTATTCACGTATTCAATTTAAAATTGAAAGAAAGTTTTTTTATAGTTGAAAAAATAAGTTTAAATTTAAATATGCATTTTTTGAGTAAAATTCTAATTTGACAATGAAATTTCAATGACATATAGACTTTGTAACAGTTCGAAAATGACCCTCTTTTCTAAGTATGTTTTTCAATAAACTGTGCATAATTTTTACAGTTTTTTTCATATTTCAAATAGATATATACATTTTTTTGTACAGGTAAATATATAAATAAAAAAAAATATTTCAAAAGACACTATCGTTTATTTAACAGCACAATTTTATGTCTAAACTTGATTATTAAAGTAAAAAAAAAGCCGATGATATTATACTTCTAATTTCTTTAAATTTATTAATTATTCATTTTAATATTTTTTATGAACATTTTTAAATAGATAATGATAAAAACCAAAAGTTGATAGAATGAACTGGACAATGTTCATAAAAACAGTGAAATTTCTCAATAGAAAACTAAAATATTCAAATAGAAATACTTCATCTATTTCTTTTTCAAGAAAAAGAAAACCAACATGTACTTAAATTAAAATATGTGAGCAAGAACAGTGAATGATTGATATATGTATATTTTTTTTTCTTTCGCTTCATTTCGCCTTGATACGTATGACCTTATGTGAAGTGACAGATATCTTCATAAACGGAAACAATGTCTTCATTAACTAGAGCAAGTCCGCCGAATCCGCTCCAATGGATCGTACTTTAAAAGTTACAATCTATTCTGACTCAATAATTGTAACATCATAGTTAAAATTGTCGGACAAATATGTAAGATATTTGAGTAGCCAAATATAAATAATCAATAAAAATTATTTCACATCCTTAGATTGTCTATCAGACAAAATAAGAGTTCGCTTGAAAATTTTCGACCACGATTGACCATCTTGTTCATGATAAGTATATTGACGAATAATTGTATTCTTCGAAATATCAGGATTTTCTTTTTTCGATATATTCTCTTTGATATGAATATTTATCTTGATGTACAAGAGAAAAACAAAGTATTGATGATAAATGTGTTTTTTTTTCTTCTGTTTTTACACAATGGGCTATGAATTTAATGAAAAAGGAAAAAAATTATAAAAAAAAAAAAAGAAAAGACAAGCATATCATCATCATCACTATTTATTGTTTATAATCGTAGTGGTTCATAGTGTTAACAAAAATAGAAGTGTTGTTATTGTGTTTTATTTTTTTACTAGCATAGAACATCACATTTGTATTCGCTTTCGACAATTATATATTAAATATGTAAATGTATTACAGTTTAATTGGCAGAGCGTATTGCTCGCCGAATTCCAAGATAGCCATATACGCAAAGACCAATAATAAGAAGAGCATGACTGAAAAATATCTGTTCAGCTCCACCATTTAAGCCGTTTGCTTGTCTGATAGCATCAGCCCATCTTCCTACAAAATCACAACAAAAAAAAAAAATGCAAATAAATATAAAATTTTCTTTTTTATTTTTTACTTGTATACACAGCTAATGCAATTGTGGTAGCAAAAAGACCCCAAATAGCAATAATAATTAAACAGCAGGCACATGCTGCAAGGCCACCTATTGGACCAAGTGCAGCAGCTAAAGGAGCAGCCATTTATTTCACAGACACTCGCTCGTCTAGAAAAGACAAAAAAAAAGAACAAATATTATTTAATCTATAAGGGTCAATTTTTTATCTCTATTTGTTTTCTTTCATAACAGACAAGTAGAAAACGGAAATGGACATTCACATGCTTAGATTGACAAAAAAAAAAGAGAGAGAGAGACACAAAAGAAAAATAAGTTTTTTTTCATCTAACTTAACTATCTATATGAAAAGAAAAGTTTGCTACTCTCTTTGAATATACCAATATAGTTTTCTCTCTCTCGTTCTGTCATACATATACTTTTTTGTCTCGTTTTTTTTTTTTTATGGCAGGCATATCTATCGACTCAAGGTAACATTACATACTAAACACGTACCTTAGTGAGTGCTTCCTAAAAAACCCAAAGATGAGGCACTTTTTCTTTCATTTATATGTCTATTCAACCGTGTATATACATGACTGCAACCCCCTAAAAAAAAAAAAGGTAACGAAAAAAATATCATCTATAGAACATTTACATACTGATACAACCCAAATTAAAGAAGAGAATATGGTGCGGAAACCATGCATGACAAAAATGAAATTTATGACGAATGTGTAAGATTGCCGAATGAAGAGACAGAACAAAATACAGAATTGCAAAAGCATATATAAACAAACAAACTTAAAATTTACACCTAATATAAAGAAACTTTTTAAAATAGTCTAATAAAATTATCATCAATTCAAGGTCATTTAGTTGATGATAATTATGAGTAAATAACATGACATGTTGCGGTTTCTTTTCTTTTCTTTTCTTTTTTTTATTAATGTATATGCTTCAAATTTATTGTAAACAATAAATGACGTCCGAAATTTTATTTGAGTATTATTGGTGATATAGGAACACCAAGGAAACAAAAAAAGATTTAGATAAATAAAAAGTTGAAGAAAAATAAAAAACGAAAGAAGAAAAAAAAGAAACATTGAATATCATCACGATGTTGCTACTGAATTACATATGAATAAAGAGTGTTGTCGTCGTCGTTGTCATTGTCATGTGTTTTTTTTTTTTTACTGTTTTAGAAAAAAAAGAAATTCAATGATGCATACCGTGCGCGCGTTCCATAATTTAAGAGAAGAAATAAAATTCGTTGTGTTGCAAAAGAAAAAGTATGAACAAAAAAAAAAGAAATTTCAAAATCATTGTGTTTGTATAGTAAATAAATAGCATCGTAAATACGAGAAAAGCTTAAGTCATGGTTTATTGATCTATGAGCGACGCATGAACGTGAACAAAAACGAACATACGAGTACTAATAAAAGAAGCATATGTGGAGCAACAAGTTCTTGGGCACCATTTAGACCATTACGATTTCTATAATCACGTAACCATCGACCTTGAACAAAATTTAAAAATTAATTATAGAAAAAACAAAATTATATCAAAAGAACTTACTAATAAAGACAGTCAATGGAATTGCCGTGATAAATAAACCCCAGACACCGATAGTCATAAGACAACATAAACATCCAGTAAGACCACCAATGGGTCCAAGAATAGCTGCAAGAAGACCAGCACCACCGGGTGCTCGACCAGCTGGTACTACTGGTCGTACTAGTGGTGGTCTATATCGATAACGTGGTCGAACATAAGATGAACGATAGACTCGACGAGATGGACCATCAGTGTTGGGCACATATCCTATAGAAACATGTAATCAAAATATTTCGAATAACAACCACATAGATGATTTTCGTTTACGCACGTGCTCTTGGTCCATTAAATCCGCCCGGGGCTTGACGCATATATGCAGATTAACAGGCGGACTATTACTTTTCTACAATAGGACAAAAGTTCATATAAAGAACAATTAGAAAGAACTCAATAATTATGCTGATTATCAACAACAAACAATAAACTGGACTCAAGCAACAAGAGAGGAAGAGAAGAAAAAAAAAAGAAAAAAAAAAAAGAAATACAAAAGAGCCTTTTTTCGCTATCTTGATGAGTTTCTGTAAGATTCTTTTAATTTTTTTTTACTGTCTATTTTCCCTATAATGTCCTCCGAATGTATTTCTCTCTCTCTCTCTTTCTCCCCTTCTCATTGCTACTTGATTGACTAAGTGCAATCATTCTATCGTGCATCTATGTGTACGTCGTATACATCTGTTAAAAAAAAGTACTAAAGGGAACAAGAAATAGAGAGAGAGAGAGAAGAAAGCGCAAAAAGGCACGACGATTTGTACAATACCGAAAAAAAAAGCAAGAAGAGAACGCGTCACACGTCAGCAAACAGCTCGATAATGATAATTTTTGTTGACTGTAATGATACATTTACAAAATAAAACCATGACTCCGACATTTTCATATATCAGAAATAGTGAAACACCATTACACGATTAATGATGTACACGTGATGCATGTACAACTGTCTGTCTATGTGCAACAAATTTGAGCAAGGTTAGAAAAAAAAAAACCGAAATAAATTGGAAAGGAGAATGATACTTGAAAGCGTGGGCATATATTTATTACTGCCTTGACGCTTCATTGAGTTTTATTATAAGAAAATGTTTATGCATGTATATGTGTATGTGTGTGAAACAATAAGAAAAGAATTAAATAATAAGATAAATATTGAAAATTGGATAAAAATTATTTTATTTAGAAGAAGAAAAGAAAGAAGGAAAATTATTATAGATGTTTGCGTGTATGTCTCTTGCAAAGTTAATTGTTGATACGATTATTTGTTGGTTGTGGCTTTGGAACTTTTGCAGGAGTACGAACACCATTTTTGACGTTACCACCACGAACAGTAGTAGGTCGACGTGTTGCAATTGGTTTTCGACGAATTGTAACTACAGGTTTTTTTGTTTTACGCACTATTGGTGGAGCTTGTGGAACTCCATTGACACCATTATTATTATTATTAGAGTTCGCCAAACCATTACCAGGATTTGCACCCGGAAAATTTGAGATATTTCCTGAACCTTTAAATAAGATAAATGTTTATTTACATACAACAAAGTAAAAAGAGATCTTTACCAATTGTATTACTTTGACCTCCATTATTTGATTGATTAGGTCCTAAAATAAAATTAAGATATGTATTTTCTTAACAAACTATTACATTTATTTATTACTATTATTTTGTATAATTGCAGTATTTTGAGGAAATCCTAAACATATACATATATTAACTTATTTTTTTTTTAAAAAGAAAATTTTCTTTACCATTTGTTGAACTAGCTGATTATATTACAAAGCATAAATAAAAATAATGTATATATTAAAAATTTCTAACTTATTATTTTACATACCTATCAAGAATAAAAAGAAACATAAGATTAAAAATTAAATTAAATTATTTAACTAACCTAGTCCATTATTTCCAATTGGTGTTGTTGTTATTCCTATACTATTTGTAAGTGCTATTCAATAAACAAAAATTTCATTGTAATAAAATGCAAGAAAGAAATACCAAAAAAAAAACAATGATTACTTACGAGCTGTTGTTACTGTCGCACTATTTGGTCTATCTATAAGAAAAATAATAGAAATTATTTTTTTGTTTTTTGTTTAAAAATATATCTTAAGCAACATTACTGGTCATTTGGTTGGTTCCATTCATGATAACAGGACAACATGGATAACAAGCAAAAACAGAAAGTGCTTCAGTAACTTGTTGAGCTACTGAATCATAAACTGAACACATTCCTTGTGCTGATGCTGGCATACATCTTGGACATATTTGTCGTAAACATGAAACCATTTCTTCATTGCAAACTTCACGTGAAAACATACATGAACTAAAACACATTCGATGAAGACATGTACATTCTCGATATTTTTGTGCATAACATCGAAGTGATACAAATGAACGACCATGTCGTTCCCAAAATGGACACATTCCACTAGAACATGTTTGAGTACCACGAACAAAACGTAAATAAGCATAAGCTGATTGTGGTAATGGTGCTTTTGTACGACGTCCATTTGTAACTGCATTACGACGATTTGTTGTAGTTGAATTGACCATGACAATAAAAAAACAGAATAAAAGTACTAGACTAATACGCATTTTTTGTTCGAAGTCTCTTGAATATTGTTTTGAAGTAATAGAGACTAATGAAAAAAAATCGAATGTTGGTAACTTGTGATAAAAAAGACGTCGTTTATATGCCGACAATAACTGTCGTGATCTTATTGGGATTAATTATGTACGTGAAAGAGCGTCATTGTTTTTTTTGTTCTCTCTTGAATTAAAAAAACCGTAACAAGAAGTATATGTCGAAGTCATAATTAAACCATAGGCTTGAACTTTCAATATCCTAGTTATATTGATTATGAAAAATCAAAAAAATGTTTATCCCATGTATTTAAAAGTGTTTAATAAAATAATATATCAGACGTTCTATATCCTGTGACCTTCGTAATTTTAAACTTTTTCACATTCACACATATTCGTTTAACATAAAAACAGACGTGATTTAATCTTGTTTTTCAATGAAAAGGTTGTCGAACGATTTAATTTTTTACTATCATTTATTGTTCTTAATTGACAAAAGAAGTAAAGATAAATTTTTAAATCGAAAACAAAGAAAACGACAATCAAAGTTAAGCCACAGAGTCGAATCTAAATAACATCAAAACAAAGATTTCAAATGTCAAAGAATTGTTATGAATGAACGAACTAAGGTTTTATTTTTCTTTCGAAACGATATGATTTTCAAAATAAGATTTATATAGGTTAAGGACAGATGCTCACTCGGCTACATTGTTTTATCGAAATTTTCGCTTTCAAGAAAGTGGTTTAAGGCTTCTCAAAGACGAACGCCTACTTTTTGGAAGCACAGATACATAGTATGTAGTACAACAAACACAAACTTCGGCAGTGATTGGACAATAGCTCGCGAAGATCAACAATATGAACTTTCTCTTCGTCTATGTTCTAAATGCCTAATATATTTATATTTCCAAAGAATTTTGGTTCATTTTTCCGGTGAATAATATATTTGAATAGCTATTATAAATTAATAAAAGTGCATTTTTAGAAGAGTTTTAGTATAGCTATTGGGATAATTTCTTGATTTTTTTTTTTCTTTCGTGTAGCTCAAATTCAAGTAGTGATTTTAATAGCTAATCGAGTGTTCTATCAAATACAATCTATACAGGCTTGTCGATATATTTTAGAGACAAGAAGGACTAAAGATTCGTTAGAAAGTGTTTTTATTCTTCAAATGCTAGAAGTGGGTAACCAAGAGGAAAATCGAAACCTCACCATGACCTGATCTTTTCCAATCCTATTCCTCTCACGAAGACTATCTTTTTATTTTTTATTTTACTCTATGTCAGAGAAAGGCTAATAGTGTTTCAAAACTGGACTTTTGCCTGAAGTTATCACGAAACTGTAAAAAATTGGCAGGAATTCGAACATTTTATGAGGTAAGGGGAAATTGCCGTTGTTTCTCTCTTCCAATTGAGAACTCTGATTCCATGTATCAACCGTGATGACACGACGTCTCAAAAGTCAGACACGATAGTATTCAGGTGCCAGAAGCTTTTTCTAAACAATACCATTTTAACTGCGAAACCTTGCCATCATAGTTCATCTATGAAATCTAAGTATAGAATGTATGAGATAGCCAACTCAATAGCTCCCTATAATCACTATCTGCATTTGAGCTAGGTGTGCACATTATAGAAAGAAAAACTAAAAATGTGTTGTCGTTAAATTCAATTTGTCATGATATCAGTTTGGCAAATTTCAGAACACGTAAATCAATCAGTTTATAATGATGATCATTCTTTCATAAGAGATGAATTTATTTTATCGCTTTATTTCATCATTTTGTTTCAAATTCATGTACAATTTTGCATAACAAGCAAATATCCGTTTTCTGATTTAGGTATATGTTTTAATCATTATCGAGCAAGATCAGTTTAAATTATCTATCATTGTATTTGCATGAAGACAAATTCAAAATCTATTTTAGCTGAAGAGTATTTCCGATTGAGAATTTTATTTATAATGTATATTATACAATCATTCGTATTCACAATCCATGATTAAAACAAATTTTGCTCAGCAATAGAAAACTTCGAGTCTTCTATGATATCCCATTTATCTTCATAATTATTATCAATTAGAAAATTTTTAAAGGAAACCAACAGCTCTGAAAACCAACGATCGCATCAGATTCAAGGAGAACTAGGTGTAATCTGAACAAGTTGATAACGGTAGCAGTTAGAGACCGAAGGTTTTCAACGATCCAAAAGAAAAAGTTCGAATATCTGTATATCTGACACTATATATGAGAAAATTATATTCAAACTAATATTTTATAAAGATGATGGGTTTTAAAATAATTTTCTTGTATATGATATCAGACAAAAAAGTCGTCTGAAGTTCTCCCTACGCGATCATTGAAAATTGCAGATCAATAGCTGTTGCCATTATCGAGTTATTGAATTTAAACTTGACTTTTGTTAATTCTAGTGCTGATATTAAATACATTTCAATATACATACACGCATTAATGTTCTAACTTTGAGAGAAATATGTAATTTATAGTTTCTTCTTTAGGTACTGCGATTGCACGAACATATGTACGGAATTAGCAGAACAATAAAATCAAAAGGCGAATCATTTAAATTAAAAACTTAGGGTAAAAAAGAAATCTAAATGAAAGATATTTAAAAAAATCGTGATAAACCTTGAACATGTTTTAAAATTTTGTCGATTATGCCTGTCATATTTTGCGTGCTGTATAAAATGAACGTTCATAAAAGTATATAATACTTAAGAAAGACGTTAGAATAAATAATTCTCAATCATAAATTTTCTATGACTGCAATTCTTCAATAATCATCTATAAAATATTCTTGTGAAACAATAATTTCATTAAAATTCTCATCATGTCTATTATATTCGAAGAGTTAGAATAAAATTATTATTTGTACCAAAAATTCATCGAATATAAATTGCATATTTTCAAAAAGACAAAGATGTATTGAAAAAAAATGACTAAAAGTTAGTTTAATTGTTTCATTTTAGCTTTTGTTGAATTCTATATACAACACATCAATGAAATTCATGACAAAATATTTTTTTTTTGTTTACAATAAATTCTGTTTAATTTATATTTCATTTTTGCATGTATACAATTTAAAATACTTGATGATTATTTAGATAAGGCTGCTACTTGTTTGCTCAATAAAATTTGTATCTTCTAGCACTGCCAATAGTTCACTTTTACTTTGCGTGGTGTACTCTAGCTCGAAATACCTATAGGCTAGACTAAAAATTACAAAGTGGCCTCTAAGCCAAGCGAGGCTGATTGTCGTTTCTGATTTTTTTCAAATACATTTAATTCTATGACTCAACATTAATGTATCGTTGTAGTTTCAGTTGTTCACTTTATTGATTGCCATAACGATAAAATAATAACGAGTTTTAGCAAGAAATAGCAAATTAAAACAAAGAGAACGAGTAAGACTTATGATGCTCTGTGATTATATCAATACGATCTCGTGTAATCATGAAAATGTAACCATAAAAACCAAAGCAACAAACAATTAAGTATAAAGCGAAGAGGTAAATGAAAATGTGTGGTATAGATGATAGGTATAATAATAGGCAAGGAAATTTGTATCTGACAATCAATATATATTGCCATAGTACGAATGCAAAATTTACTATACAATTGTTTTGAATGAATTGGTCAATGTACTCTAGGAAATAATTCTAATGCTAAGCTGAAGGGTGTGAGTGTTAGTCTTCTCTTCATGTACATCAACACCTAGCTATTCTTGTTAAGACCTGTCTCTCTGTAAAGTGTCAAGAAGAAATTCGAAAATCAGTATTTTCTGGTGTTCTTGAGAGAAATCCGAGCATTCATTTTCAACAATACTTTAAAAGTGCAGAGTCATCGCAAGAATAAGCGAAGGATACGAACTCTTTTCAGCGTATTCATAGCTCATTTGAATCTACATAATGCCTTTAGTCTCTACTAAGAAATAATTTATCAGTTGAAGGCTTCCTTGCTTTAGTCGCTGGTTCTTATCAGTATAATAAATTTTACTACTACTCTGTATTGATAGTTTAATAAAAGTCTAATTGATATCATAGGTTTAAGTTTTGAAGAACATAAATGATGCTTTCGAATGAGACCTATCTGCTTTTGTAAACTGTCAAGGTTTAATCGGTACAAAAGTTGATGAAACGTATAAATTAAGAAAACATTCAAAATTACTCAGAAAAAGCAAAGGTAGTGGATCGACTTTGAAGTACATTTTTACAAAAAATAACTAAGTAACATTCGAAAGCATAAAGTATACTCTTGAAAAGTTACTAGATTTCAAAAATAAAATCCATGCTATGTAATCGTGGTGCATTGAATTATGAATACATAATAATAGTAAAAGTTCTTCTACTGATTGCAATCATTCGAACGACGAAACATTTTCAATAGATTGGTCGCTGCTATTAACGAAAATTACTGGATAATAGATTGTCAACCATTCTGATTCCGAATATAAACATGAGAAATTTCCATAGGTCTTTGATGCTAGTTTTTTAGACTGACAAAATTTTTGTTTGGTCTACCGAAATTAAAGAATAGGTCTGAAAAACAAAAAAAATTTTCAGTTTCAAATCATTGTTTTTGTGGAAAATACAACAATGTGATATTATTTTTAGAATGCTGAAAAGATTATTGTCTACAGAAAAAATCGATATGATCTATAATCTGAAGAAATCTAAAACTATTCTAAAAAAATTTTTCCCAATTTGAAAAACTGATTTTCTAGAAAGTCAGCATATAAAGACCTAAGAGTATTTCTCATGATCATAGTGCTCCAGATTCACAGTTTTATGAATCATGACTCAGAGTCTAGTTTTTTTTCCAGAGATATCTGACATTCTGTGTATACATGAACACGTCAAGGATCAAGGTTTTTAGGTATCTATTAGCTACTCTCTGATAAAAAAAAAGTCAACTTACTGTTACTTCTTGCCGCTTACTCTACCACTACTTGATGTTTAAAAAATTAAAAGTTTTCACTTCCTTCAAAAGAACATTGATACCAAAAAAGATAATTGAACAGTTAATGATAAACGAAACTAGCCATTAAAAACTTTCAAACATATTCAATAAATATGAAAATTGACTTATTTATAAATCATCTTCTAGTACTAATTCTCACTGTAAACATATTCCTAGTTCTCAAAATAAAAACGGCAGTTTCCAATGTTCAAACAAGTATTCATTAATTTTATATATCTTCAAACATCGAATCAGCTATTTCAAATCAAGTTAAGCATGAAATAAAAGTTTTTTGTACTGTATTTGCAGCACTCGACTATCGACTATTAAGAACAACTAATGGTATCGGTTTTAACGATCTTTAATTCTGATCGATACTTACCTACAGCAAACTATTAGTCTACATTATTATGGTCTGGACCCGGATCTGAAAAGACTCGTAGCTTCATACCCATCATCCAGTAGCTTTCGATAAGGTGACGACTGATCTATTGAAAACTTTCTTGTGTAAGCCGAATCTTTTGATTTGTGATGTTCTTTCGATTCATATACTTATTAAATAAAAATGAAAATAAAATCTTTCTTTTTCTAATAATTAAATATACAGTTAATTAATTAGCTATTAAAATTAGTGATTTTCAAAAATAAAAAGAAATGCTTTTACTATAAAACTTCAAAATGTTTGTCTTGAACTTTTGTTTGCTAAAGTAGAACTGTTAGTATGAAAAACAACTGATAAAAATAACTCAATGAAAACATTCACTTGTCAGCTTTATAGTTTTGCCTGAAGGGTTACATAAATCACTATTTGAATGGTTTGAACAAAGCATTTTGACAAAAACAATAAAAAGAAAAAAAAAACGTCTTAAAATTTTTCCAGCACTTTATATCAAATCATTACATCTTTGAATATTTCTATTCTTGGAAATAGAACAAAAGAAACACAACTTTTTAAATCTTATTATCAATTGATTTTACTCTGGGAACGAAAAAAAGAAAAAAAACTTATTTGTAATCGAGTGCAATCATGCAGTACATGTGGAGGAAGAAATTGAATAATTTATTTTTGTTTTTAATATTTTATATACTACATAAAAGCTTGATTGATGTCGTCAATATTAAGACATAGTGCACTTACGGCATTTTAGACAATTAGAATGGATATCATTATAATAGTTCTTTCAATTTTTTTTTTCTTGTAAAAATCGGAAAAAGAAGGTTGATCGTTAATTTTTACTGACGTCTTACGATCGGAGTATTTATTAACGTGTGTTTGCAAGAAAAGCATTTACAATTTTTTTTTTCTACATCGATATATATTCTTACTGTGATTAACATCATGCGTTATTATCAACACATAATTGTTGCTGCTTTACTTATGCAAGTTAGTATATTTATATACACTATTACATTCGATCAAAAGATATTCTTTTTTTTGTTTTTGTGTATGTTTTTAAATAGTTATTTGTTTCATGTTTGGCTCGAACAAGATTTATACCTGATCCATGGCCAGCATCATCAGCCAATTGGAATGAAATTGATGATACTTCTAGCAACGACAACAATGGCAATAATGATAATGATGTAGCTGATCGAACTGGTCCTCTAACATTCAAAGCCAAAAAAGCGTTACATGGTGGTTTTCCTTTTGGTAGTGAAGAACGGCGGAAAAAATATCTCGGAGAATCAGCAAATTTCCATGGTGGACATAGTCTTCAAGGTCTATGGGCAATGCCAGGTCGACGTTAATTCATAGAACAAATTATTAAAAAAGATCTTCATGATTGTATTTCACGAAACATATAAAACAAAAAAAAAACACATAATAAATATTTATTTGTTTCATCATTGTAACGCGAAAATAAATAAAAGAGAAAGTTTTGAAAGTGAAAAGTTTCCTTTAAAATAAACTATTAATAAAATGAATTTAATTTTCATTTATTGTGTTTTTATGATTAATTGAATTATCTAATGTATACTCAAAGAAATATTTAAATGATTCAGTGCAGTTTTGAAGATATTTCAAAACTTTTAGTTTCTATGGCAATAGAAAATATATGTGGACTATCAGTTAATTGTCAATTCTACTCTTTGTTATCGTGAGATTATTTTATTGATTTGATACATTTCAACGTTTATAAATAAAAAAATGATCTTAAACGACATCATGTTTTCATATTTATAACCTCGCTCTGTGCCAAATTTTTTGATGATTTCTATCATCATCTCCTTGAAAAATATGTTCTTTTCAAAAATATTTGGAAATATTTTTCTGTTTTTCTCTCTTTATATTTATTTGATCGCGCACCCTTAAATTCTTGAAAAGACTTCATTATACTCAATTGTATTTTTTTTCTTGTAAATATTGAATTGAAAGAATCAAATTACAAGTAGAAATACAATCATAGATCTATAAGCTGTCATTAATAGATATATCAAAACAGAATATAACAAGAATCAACAGTTAAAATATGTATTATTATAAAAATTAATAATGAAACCATGAACAACAAGAATAGCTAAAATGAAAGATAGTGTCTGTCATACAACTATATGACATGAAAATTGGTTTGAAACAAATGATTGATTGTTCGCTTCACTGATAAAAAAATAGAAAAGCATCACAATTTTTTTTTTGATAAAATATACTTCATCTAAAATCTTAAACTAAAGATATCCATGACGATGTTCTCGCCATCATAGTGTCCACAAATCTAAGATCCAAACATCATCATAGTAAATTTTCACCCTAAAGGATATTTCTATCTTGAATATTTTGTTCAGCTTTGAGATTCAATTTTAACTGTTAAAATACTCTCATGAGCCAGATGGTTATATTGATTCTCTGACTTGATATCGTTATATCTATCTTGATCAACAATAATAATTCATGTAGCAAAGTAGCCAAAAAAAAACAATGGTCAAAATGCAGTTTTAGCTATAAGTTTTATTTGAGGATTATGTGCATTTCATGTTAAAAATATATAGTGTAAAAAGAAATTTTGTATCTTTAATGAACTCGCATTTATTACAATCAAAACACATATGTATCAAAACATAAACTTCGAACTTAATAGAAAATGTCAGTTCAATTCGAATATATTATTTAACATCAATTACAGATGATCAATAATGATTTACTTGAAAATTAAAATTAGTTTTTCTAAAGTTTAATCTTTTAGTATATTAGATACTTTCTTAGTTTTGATATTGTTTTTATCATTTTTACGAAATACAAAAATAAACTTTAGAAAATATTCAGATATCTCATATTACAAAAAAATTCTATAGAAAATTTTCAGCAGAAAACAACGAAATACTAAATTAGTAGTACCCTCGATCAATAAGTAGATAGTAGAGAAACAATATTTTTTTTTTCTTCATCAAATATCTCATCAACATCATTTTAGTGTAACTGACAAAAAGTCAATGATTTAAAACTTTGTTACTTAAATATTTTCATAATAAACATATCCCTTTGCCTATCAAGAAATATTACAAAATTTAAAATTTCCAAGTAAAGATTTTTTCAATTAAAAAATCTCATATTTATTAAATGCAAATTTAATAGTTCGTAAGTAATGCCCATTTCTGATTGGTATATTGCTTTTGACCAATGACAACCTATCCAACCACTTGTTTCATCAGAAACATAATATTTTTTACCATTATAAATAATTATGGATTTAACTTTGAGACTCATGTAAGATTTAACAAACTTCTTCTATTCATTATAGTAATTGCTTCATATAACAAAATGATCCAAATGAATTAACGTTCTTAGTTCCGTATGCAAAACATATTCATCTAATACTGTTCTTCTGGAAATCAAAATTTGAAAATGTTAGAACTATCATTAACTGAGTATGGCTATGGTCTGATCTTGGCTATACAATAAATAATATGCTCTATTTACGATCAGTTCAATGGTTATAGATGAATATTAAATTCAAGAGTAAAGATGTTTTTATAAAGCTGAAATAGTTTATTTACATGAAAAATATATCGATAAAATTCTTCATGATCATTTAATACGTTGTATTACTTATGAAAGTCGTATGTTAGAATATATATTATGAGTCATATTTATTATACAATCATTGTTTTGTCTTTCTTTCTTTTTTTTATTTTGAAGGACATTATCTGTATATATATATATGAAAAGTAAATAATCTCTTTCTTTTAATTTGTAGATATGAAACAAGTGAAAATATCAACATTAACTTTAGATCGTTTTGATCTATTTACAATTATTTTTGATATATTAATTTCAATACTTGGTAGTCTTATTGTTAATCGACTTATACCAATATTAAAAGAAAAATTTATTAAAGCACAATTATGGGGATATGATTTAAATAAACGAAATTCAAAAGAAATAAAAGTGTAAGATTAGAAAAAAAGAAGATTTTTAAAATTTTCCTAACCATTGAGTAACAACACATGAAAATATATCCTCTTATAGAACATTCTGAGACTTTAAATGAATGCTAAGAAGTGTACATGTTCGTTTAGCTGACAAGAAAACCGCGTTAGGTGTCTTCTTTTGATTTCAATGTACTAAATATTGTTTTAATAAACTCTAAAATGATTTCGGTTCCGATGGAGATTTGACTAAGCAATCGAATTTTCAATCTATCTATTTTATAGAGTCTTAGTACTAGACTTTTAAAACTCTAAAAATCTCCTTCCAAAATTTTCAAAATTGTTTTGTTGTTTTAGAAGAAATTTTTAATTAAAAACTATGAAAATATATTAGACTCAATGACAGATTTTCTTAAAAAAATTTATACCTTTGGATGTAGTAGAAGATCTATTCACAAACTCCTAAGAAAAAATTTATAAAGAAGAGACTACATATGATTTTTCTTTTAGTGCAGAATCTCAAGGTGTTCTAGCAGCAGGCATTTTTCTTATACTAATGTTTATTATGATTGCTATTGTCTTTTCTGAACATTTACATCCAGCGAGTGATTTTCCACATAATAAAGTAAACATATATATATATTTTTTGAATACAATGTTTAATTGTTATATTTTTTTTTTTGTTTTGAAGTTTGTTGAATATTTAGCTGCTCTACTCTCTATCTGTTGTATGGTATTACTTGGTTTTGCTGATGATGTACTTGATCTACGTTGGAGTGTAAAATTATTATTACCATTGATTGCATCATTACCACTTTTACTTGTTTATTTTGCTAATTATCATTCGACAACTATTATTTTACCTAAACCGATGAGATTATATTTAGGTCAACAATGGAATCTTGGTATGAATTAATTAAATAAAATGAATAAGTTATTATTATTTTAATATAGGTATTCTATATTATATTTATATGAGTATGGTAGCTGTATTTTGTACGAATGCAATTAATATTCTAGCTGGTGTCAATGGACTTGAAGTTGGTCAATCAATTGTTATAGCAAGTTCAATACTTATTTTCAATCTAGTTGAATTACAAGGTTCATTTTTTAGATTTACATAATTATATTATTATTTTTTTTTTTAGGTAGTTGTTGGGAAGAACATCTTTTTTCACTTTATTTTATGATTCCATTTATTGCTTGTACATTTCCAATTTTAATTAAAAACTGGTTTGTTTGCTTCTTTTATATTTCATATCCCAACAAAAAAAAAAAAGATTTTATATAACACGATTTAAAAGGAACATTGAAATAAGATGTATCCAAATTCTATGAATTCTGAACTTATGCAATTCGAAGAGTTCCAGGCTTTGTTGACATTTAGATAACAAACTAACTCTAGTATTTTAAAAAAAACGTTGTTGTTAACCTTTTTTTTTTAATCATCTTATTGCATTTCTGAAGAAATTTGATAAAGAAATATATTCGAAAATAGATAGAATAGAATAATTACATCGTGTTTCACATTTTAATCCTATCAAAATTCTACTAGCAGCTTTATTAATTATATATATTTTTCTTTTATCACAAAAATTAAATAGGTATCCAGCAGAAATTTTTGTTGGTGATACACTTTGTTATTTTTCTGGTATGACATTTGCTGTTGTTGGTATACTTGGTCATTTTAGCAAGACTATGTTACTTTTTTTTATACCACAAATTATTAATTTTCTTCTATCTATACCACAATTATTTCATTTTATTCCTTGTCCACGACATCGTTTACCAAAGTAGATAAATAAATATAAAAAAAAATTTTAACTTTTTATTTGTTTGTTTGTTTTTTCATTTTAGATTAAATCCGGAATTAAATAAACTTAATCCATCTGAAGTTGAATTTAAAAAACATGATTTAAAAATACTTGGTTGGTTAATGTTACGTTTTTTTTCAATAATAAAATTTATTAGATATCGTGAATATTTAAATAATGATGATGAAATTATGATTTCAACAACAAATTTTACTATTATTAATACAGTTCTTTGTTGGTGTGGTCCATTACATGAAGAAACACTTTCTCGAATATTAATTCTTATACAGGTTAGTGTATAATGTTTATCAATAATTTATTAATCTACTTTAATTTAGATTGTATTTGGTACTTTATTAACATTTTTCATTCGTTATTATTTGGTGAAATTTTTCTATGATTCATAATTATTATTTTTCGAAAGTTCTAGTTTTTATTGCTTAAAAAAAAATGACAAATAAATTCTTTTTTCAACTAAATATACATTGAAAGTTATTTCTTTGATGACGGCAATAATATATGGGATATGTTTTAGGTAGAAATCATGTTTTTTGATTTTATTGATTGTTTGTTAATTAGAGATGTTGAAATAGATTTAGGGATAAATGATGAAGTTTTAGAAGATGTTAAAGAAAATTGATTTGAACTGAATTTAATACGTCGAGTGAGTCGAAGTCGAGCAAGAAGAATTTCTTCGGATGGTGGTTGTTGAATTTTTTTTATTTTACTTGTACAAAATGTTACATGACGATCATAAGCTTTTTCACAAAATTTACGTTTACAGATTGGACAACCTATATTAATTGAAATGAAAAAAAATTTTAATTATTTAGATAAAAAAAAACAAACTTGTTCATCTTTCAATTCTACACACAGTTGATGTACCAACAATAGATTGTTAGTCGAACAACAACTATTGTTCTACTACAATAGAATAATATTCTGGAGATAGCAGATCGTCGGTCTTTGTTTCGTTTGAATCATCTGGGACATCATTCATAATCTCCTGTTATTGTCCTTAATGTTTTCTGTCCTATCCTATGCTTAGCTTAGCTCTGATCTGAATTAGTAATAGAGCTTTTAATTGGCCTCAATTATGAGATATATATATTTTGAAACTGTTTTTTTTTCTCGATTAATTTGAATTTTTTCTGATAAATGATTCGAATTTTAATAGAAGATATTTTCTACAATTGTTCAGAGCTGGAACGAAAGGTCATAAGCGCTACCATCGATAAATCGTTGGTCATGTGAACAAACGTACGATATAAGTACTAACAAATACAAATAATGATTCATTTTATGCATCAGTAACACTTATCTTATCTCGATTTTTTTTACATCACTTTAACGTATATCTTATATTTCTGTTGTATGAACATTTGCTTGTACATAATAGCTATCGTTTGTCTATAGCAATTTAATTAATTGTTCTTATTTGTGTGCTTACAAAAGAAATGATGATTGATTTACAAATTGAATATTCATTGGCAATCGTGTTTAGTATGAGAACTAGTAACTGAATTGATCAGAAAAAAAAGAGTATCATATCATTGATGCTGAAAATAGCTTATTCATGATGATTTTTTGCCATAGGAATCTGTACATCATATAAAAAATGCAAAGAATTACGGGGAGATCGATAAAAAAAAAGATGACTATGTTGATATCAATGTAGAAGAAGACGATAACATTGAATAACTTTCATTATGTACAAATATTAGTAATAGCACTTTTGAATTTGTAGATTATAGTGCTTGATATATTTTCTTTCAAACTTTACATAAATTTACATCAATGATCAATAAGTAATATTATAGTCTACAATACGCTCTAGGAAATATTCAAGTATGTTGATAAAAAAAATTCTTTTCAGGAGAAATAATTGAATAAACAAATCCTTAACCTAAAGTTGAGATCAAAGAACTATAATGAAAAAATTTCTACTGATATAGACATTTTTATTGTTCGAATCTTTTGTGATATACTGAGAAGATTTCATATATCATCTAGGATTTAGCCATAAAATATTGCAAACGACACTAGATTTCTGTCCTTCTTTTGTTTAGTTTAAATCCTAGGAAAATTTTTCGAATCTTGATATTCTTGTTAAAGTGTTAGATATTCAAATAATTTAAACATATGTGATATACTCTATTCAATATTCGATATTTTTAAAGACAAGGAGTATTATTAATATAGATTAAATATACATAAGTACATACAGAAATTGTTGATAACAGGCGGTACGAGAGTATCAGAACGACGGTCACGTTTAACACTCCGTGTTTGAGAAGGTCGTATGTTGATATTACTTGATTTATCATTTTTAAATGGTGATATTTCATGGACTGGTATAATTTTGTCACCTGCTCTTACAGAACGATATTGTGTCATATCAAATGCATGTACATTTCGTTTATTTGTAGGATTTTTACGACACACATTTGGATGTTTGATAAAAACTTCGTGACGCATTCGTCTTAGACATAGCGGACACTGATCTAGTTCTTGTAGTATTTTGTTAGTATCATCATGAACACCATTCATGCCGTTGGTGTTGTTATTCATTCTGTTTGAAAGTGCTGACATTGTGTTTTACTGCTCAATATACGTATGTATGTGTTGTCCGTTATCATGGAGATATTATCGATGCAACTCGATGAATGCAGATAGCTTCTGTGTACCTTTTTTCATTTACGTTAATTGTTCTTTTTCTTTTCTCTCATTCTGTTTACATATCTTACCTTCTCTGATAAATATTTCAGTGAACGTAAGGTCAAATAATTTATGCTACTTCTATTTGTATTCGTATTTTTTGTCAAGTTAAGAATCTTCAAAGAATAAGATACCTATTAAGACCTTGAGTTGAACATAAGCTTTGAAAAAAATTTCAGCCAGAAAAGAATATATATAAAATTTAGCTAAAAAACCCTATCATAAGATTAAAACGTGTTGAATAATTGAACAGTTTTACTCATGCATAATAATCAAATGAGACTGATTTAAAATTGACAAGTCATTTAAAACTTGTGAAGGATGTTTTTTTCCTATTAAGCGTTCAGTTAAATGGTCGTCATTTTTTCAATTGATAACTATTATTAATATTCATAACTTTTGGAGAAGATTTCTGTGTTGAATAGAATTTGTAAAAAAGAAAAAAAGGACTATATAAATCATATTAATGATGCAGTTTATTGCATGTCTACTTCTATCTAGATATTTGTTTCAACAGAACTTGATAGTCCAGCATGTTCCTTTGCAATTGGAATCGACTAAAGGATACAGATAATAAATGCATAGACTATTTACTGAAATGTGAGGGAAAAAAAGCAGAAAAATTGATGTTTCCTTCTATTTCTATGTATATTTGATAGGCATTTGTTTTGCTTACAAAAATTTCTTCAAGTTGTCATCAATATATAACAATATTAAAATGTGACCTTTTCGGTCAATCCTATTTTAACTGAAATAAAGTATCCATTCTCTTTTATGCACCTCTACGTCATTTTATACACATATATATGGTATTCTTTTTTCTTCTTTTCTTTCCTTTCTTGATATAGTCGTACACCCATTAGTGAAAAATGTCTGTCAAAAAAAAAAGATATATATATATACATGGCTCTTTTCCATGTGCTATCTATATTTTGAACCTTGTCGAATGAGATAATCTATCGACTAAACAGTCGGCCGCATAAGTAAGCATTTATATATTTTAGATTCAGACTAGTTTAAAATAAAAATAAGCAATTTTTTGAACGATAATGGATGGGAAATTAACAACAACATCTACTTCTCCTGACTCAAGTAGGATTTCTTTGTAACATTTAATTTCTCTTAATTTTACAAAGGATTTTCTTTGTTCATTTAGTATTATCAGAATTCTCATCGCATGATTCTATTGCTACAAGTAGTACTGCTCCTTCTTCATCCGCCATGTCAGTACTTCCACCACTTCGTTCATCATTTACAATGGCTAACATTAATAATATTACAAATTTCAATGAAGATCAGAGTTTTTTTCTTGATGAATTCAATTCAGAACGATTTTCTACAGTATCCCGATGGTAAATCAAATGGATTTTTTTTTCGAATATCTTTATTCTTATCTTTCGTTTTTATAGGCAATCGGATGCCGAAAATCTAAATCTCCAATCCAATTCTTCAACTCAACAATCATCATCAAAATCGACATATCTTATAAATGATTTTCTGTAAGTTAATCAATAATATTTAATATCAATTAATTACAGATTTGTTCGATTTAGAACTAACAGAAATATAGCTTCATCATCTATAACTGATGTACTAATCTCACCGATGTCTCGTTTATCTACATCATCATCAATGATGTCAATTAATAGTATTGGTAATCATAAAACGACTGGTCAACGATCGGTAAATTTAATCTCAAAGAAATTCAATTAATTAATTTATTATCATTCAAATTTTTAAATAATATTTTATTTTATAATAATTTAGTCTCGATCAGAATTTAAAAATTCAACAGAACAATTACCAATATTAAATGGAAATATATTTCCTTCGGTATCCTCTTTCTTGCCATTACCAACACCATCATCAAATCGTCAAACACTTTCATCAATTGAAAATATTCCATCAACTATGACAGATAATGATCTTCAACGAGTACCACATTCATGGATGTTCATGTCATCAACACTACCCAGTTATGGTATAGTTTGAATTATTTATTTGTAAGAAAAAGACATAATTCAAGTATTATAGAAATGGGTCCTGTTGTTCAGCAACAACAACAACAGCTACCGGTACCACAACTAGTTCATAGTACAAATCGATCAAATTCAATGCCATCTTGGCGTGGTTATTTACCGATGAAATTCGAACCTATATTAATGGATCAGTATCAAATGACAAGTAATTTTTCACAAAAAGTATTTCTCGGTGGTATTCCTGCTGAACTAACTGAAGGTTAGATAAGAACATTTTTTTTCTTTCATAATGTCTCATATTTGATTTCTAGCTGAACTTTTACTTATTTTACGAAAATTTGGTAAATGTAATATTAAATGGCCAAAAAATGATGGACTCAATCACAATATGCCTGGTTAGACTTTTTTTTTTCTAATAGGTCGTGAACAAAAGTCTTTGACTCTGATTTAAGACATATGTAATTTAATTTGACAAAATCACATACCTAACAAATGATTTTTACTCATATAGTAAATTTTTATTTAATTTTATTTTTCATATAGGTTTTTGTCATGTAGTATTTCGTGAATCACGTTCTGTATGTGAACTTCTTAAACATTGTACTCGACAACAACGTTCAACAATTGATTATTTTCTTCATATTCATATGACAACATCATCAATTGATTTATCTATGCGTACAAATCGATTAAAACCAGTATGAAATTTTTTTTTTTTGTTTTGTAAAGAAATTTTCCTTTTTTCTTTTTTTAAACTTATTTAAATATAGATTCAAGTAGTACCATGGAATGTAAAAGATAATGTATATGTTATGCAACAAGTTGATACATCAAATAGTGATATAACAACATTTAAAGATTGGTCACGTACAATATTTGTATCACCACTACATGGTAAAATGACAGCATTGAGTTTAGCTACAATTATGTCAAATGTATTTGGATCAGTATCAATGGCACAAATTAATACAGATAAATATGGATATCCAACAGGTAATCCAGTTTAAAAACAAAAACAAAAAAAATGATTTGTTTTCTTTTCTTCTAATCAAACAAATATTATTTAGGTACTGGTACGGTATTATTTTCGGATTCACATAGTTATATGCGTGCAGTAGCTGCTGGTGCTATTGATATTAAATGTGATTGTTTTCATAAATTGGTGAATTATTTTTTTGTTTTCTTTCTTTTTTTTGTATTTATAATAATTAAATTTTTAGCTTGATATTGATCCATTTTTACGTGAAAATGAACCTTGTGCATTTTGTCCAGCAGTTGCTGATTTATTTTGTCGAAATTTTCATTGTTTAAGATCTTATTGTAAACAATGTTGGATTAATAAACATGGATCAAAACCACTTGCTGATCATCAACCAGCAACACGACGACAACAACCGTTACCTCATATATAAAAAAATTAATTCTAAACTGTATTGAAAATATAGTTCTACTTTTTTTTTTGTATTTCTTTTTTTCTATGCAATGTGTGTGTGTGTTTTTTTTTTCTTGTTGTTTCTTGAAAAGATTTCCTTTTTCATATATTTGAAACTTCTTGTGAAAAGTAGATATTGTGCTTTTCTTCTTATATGTTTGTACGAAATGTTGTTTGATCTTCAGAAATTATTATTTTGTCGATCGATCCTGTTTTATTTGAACAAATCATAATTAAGTTTTTTGTTTTTTTTTATTCCTCTTGTATATTGTTATATAGTGATAGTTTTGTGAGTAAAACGAAGAGAGTATTTTATTTTGTGTTGTTGTTATGGTTGAGAGGATTTTGTATTGATTTTTCTTCGAAAACAATACATTTTATATGTTAAAATAAACACATGAGTGTTTAAAAATGATTGTCTTTTGGTTTTTTTTTTCATTTAAATAATTTTTTACGGTTGCTGGAAGAAATGACCGATTGGTATGGAAGCCCGAGGGAGTACGGTACGACCTAGTGAAAATTGGTGTCGTTTCTTCCCCCTCCTCAACAGTTTTCAAACAAAAAAAAAAAAAAAATTTTTTCCCAAAATTTTCCCCCCCCCCCCCCCCCCCTCCACACTCCTAAAAACAATCGACAACCCTGTCTTGGACTATTCGATATTGTTGATTACAAAAATGATCAATGTTGAAATTGTATTTATGAAATAAAATGTTTTCTTTACTAATAGAAAGTATAAACAGCGTGTTACCACGGTTATAATGGTGGTAATTTATTTGTGTCATATGCAGTCTTATTACTGTGTATCGGTTTTTGTTGAAAACGATTCTAAACGATACTACATACGTTCTGATTCAAAAAGACATGTAATTGAGGAGGACAAATTGCGATCCAAGAAACGCCCATCGATTTTTAATATTTACGACAGATATTGGGTCGTTTCCAATGGTCGAACTAATCGTCCTAGACGATTTCTATTGTGAAGACTTTGACTTGCATTTAAATAGAAAGAATGAAGTCTATGAAGGACTATAGAAAAGTATTTATAAGTCATCAATTCACTTTTTTCTAATGTAAATTTTTATTAAAATATAAATTTTGTGTTTTAAAATTCAAAAATTTTTACATTTACAAACAAGTCGATTCCTCATGACAATTGTTAATCGTACATTGTAATTGATTTTTATTAGATTTATCCAAAGCATCTTCGATTTTACTTTGAGGATCATGCTTTTCACGTAAACGCCAAAGTGCATCAACAAATGTAATAAAATCAAGTGTTTGAAGTTGTTTACCATTAAATGTTTTATGATAATTTGTTTTTATTTGTATATATTCATCTTCATAAAATTGTTTTAAATGACGAGCATAAACAATCAAAGCTGTACCAGTATAAAATCGATCAGCAAAAAGTATAATTAAATCATTGTGAATACGATTATCATTAAACCATTTTTGAATATCTTTCGATGTCCAATTTTTTAATGAATTTTCTTCTTCATTCAATTTCATTGAGATCATTTTATTAGATGAGTTTTGTATTGTCATAGACTTTTGATCAACAGTCAAGATAGAAAGAAGTTCATTAAGAGCATCTGTAAAAGTTTTTCGTCCAAAATGAATATATTTTTGTCCAGCTATGCGAATTCCAAGCCAACCATTTGCTTTATATTTTTGATTTGGAGCATATACAGGTACAATACGTTTCTTTAGTGTATCACAAGCATATGAAAGTTCTTGTCTACATGATTTTGAATCATAATATTCTTTTGATACAATGAAAACAATAACAATAGCTGTTTCCATAGCAGCAGTAATTTCTTCCCAAAGATCATCTGAATGAATACTATTATAATGTTCTTGTTTATAATCAACCCAAACATATATATGATTAGATAAATGTTCGACAAGTTCATGACAAAATATTGAATTACTATGTGAATAACTAATCATAATATGTGATTGTTGTTGAAAATATTCTTTTGATATAGTTAAATGTGAAAATTTTAAATTCTATAAAATTCCTTCGGCTGCTTTTATCACGTGGTATTGTTTTTATATGTGTACTAGTATATAATAATGATGATGTAGCTAAATTTGATAATGTATGAATAAAATTAATATTTAATTTTAATTTTTCTTGATAAGATTCATGAAATGATATACTCCATAAAAGATTAGTTAATATTATTAATGTTTCATCATTAAGTAATTGATGAATTTGTATTGTATTACTTGTAATTATTGAATATTGAATAAGTAATTGACATAAACAATCTAATAATTGATTATTTTCATTTAAACATTTTTTAAGTATATTATCATTAATAAATAATTTACTTAATGCACATAAAATTTCTGATAAATGACAACATTTATAAAAGAATAAATTATTTTTTGAAGAAGAAATAATAAATAAAATAATTTCTTTAAAGTACATGACATATTAATTCATCATGTAAAATAAATTTTTATTTCATTATATTAACTTTCATAAGTAATACATTGAATAAAATGAATACATAAATAATTTTCTTCATTATGATCTTTTTTTCATTTGTTTATGACTTTCAATTAAAATTTTTGTACAATTTAATATTTCAATAGCAATTGTATGTCGAGCAAGTTTTTGTAAAATAAGATTAATTAAAAAATCAGTTGTATATGATGGTCTTGATTCAATTTTTTTTAACCATTGAATACATGCATTTGGCCATTGAGAATGAATTATCATTGGTATTTTACTAAATATTTTTATTAAACTAAGAATATTATTAATAACTTGATTTCTTTGTTCATATTGCCAATTATTTTTCGTAAATTCAAGTAAATATGAAAGAAAATTTGATGGTAAATCTGTTTCATTAATTGTAATGAATAGACTTGAATATGTAATAAACAATTAATAAGATGATCATATTTAATATCATTTATAAAATAATTTTGTTTAAGTAAAGGTTAAATAATTATGAAAAATAATTTCAGTACAATATAAATCTTTAATTGAAATAAATAATTCTAATAAACATAAACCATGAAATGCATTAGATAATACTTCTAAAAATAAATTTGTTTGATAAGAATTTTCATTATTATCTAATAATTTTTTATCAAAAATTGAAACTATTCGATAAAAATTATCTACAATAGCAAGACCAAGTGATTTATTTTCTGTTAATCCATTTAGTGTAGCATATTTTAATTGAGTAGTTAAATATTGAATTGTATTAGAATATTGATTTGTTGTTTGATACAAAGATAAACTTTTTAAATTATTAACAAAATCAGTTGTAGCCATTTGCAAACATTTATCAGTTAAATTCTCACTCATTGATTTCTTTTTGTATAAATTAATAGTTGTGCACGTATCGTATTTATAGTATTACCTTGTCAATAGAAATTTTTTTCTTTTGCACGTCAATCTTATTTATCACAGAGCAAATAAAGCATACAAAACTTTTATTGACAATTACTGTGTCATACTGACGATAGCGGAAAGAACGCCATACATATACTGCATATTGAATATTCATAGATTATAAGATTTGATTTTATCGGTTGAATAATCTCTTTTTAATATATATAGAATAAACAAAAACAAGCATATAGAAAATGAAAACTTAGGTAGTGATTCTAATTGATTAATATAATCATTTATTTTATTACGAATATCAAATGCAATACTTTTTCAATCCTTCAGAATATTTGTGCATAACTGATTGTTGTCATTTCTTAGTCATTTTTCGTACACATTGATAACTTTGTAATAGCATCTGATGATCATTTTTGACGATTAGTTTTCATACTACTATTTTAATGTTTGATACATATGTTATCATCATAGAGTACAATGATTCCTCAGATTAGTTACATTCATTTCGGCGGTATGGGTGGAAGTCTTCAGTTCAATCACATTCAACATCCACACTCACACCGTTCTGCTTCTTGATAAATTTTTATATTTATCTAAACTTTTTGTAAGCAACCTGAAGCAAATATTGAAAATCAGCAACTATAATCTTAGAGTGTTAAAGAAAAATTACTGAGAGAATAGAATTCGAGAAAACGTATTATTAAATAAAAATGGATAATAATTTAGTGTAAAGAAACAGAGAAAAACGACTAGATTCTAATATTTCTTAACACATTTATATGTTTTATGTAGGGGAACAAGTATTGTGAAGTAGAGAAGACAGAAATAACATTAAGATGGTCATCATAGGTAGTTAATGGACCATCACTTGTGACTAACATATCGTTCATTTTCTCTCTCTTTACCTATGCTGTTCATATTCGACTTTTACGAACTTATAAAAAATTCATCTATTTTGATTTAAAATAATCTTTCAGTTCATTATCTTCCTTTAGATCCATCTATTAGTTTATTTTACTTATTTCTAATTAATCTATTTAAATATTTATGTGTGATTGATTGAAAAAAAAACATTAGATGTTGTTTAACATATCCAAAAAAACATAATCAATATAATATTAATTTAATTGAATACAAACTTATTTTATTTCATTAAATTATATATTTTTCAAGTAAAGTATTCAGAAAAAATATTAGATATAAAGTTCAGCATTCTCAACTTCTTTTCGTATGAAATATTTGAATATAAAATTTTTAATTATTATCATATGATTATTTTTATGATAAAATACAAACAATAGTATCAAATATACAATAAAATTCTACAACTATTTCTGTACATTCAATTTTCAATATTATAGATTTAAATAAAATACTTTCTCAAGAAATATTCAACAAAAACATTTTTTTCTTTAAGTAAACTTAGTTCATCAACTGTATCCAAGGTTGACATAGCATTTGTTCGTCCAACTAAGTATATAAAAGAAATTGATTAGAACAAGAAAATATTTAATATGTTAAAAGACAAGTTTTTGAGAACTCTCAAATGTAAAAATGCAGCAAAAAAACGATTTATAATAAAATCTCACAATATTACCGCCTCCTTATTACGAACAGTAGGTACTTATTTCTAATCCTATAAACAATAACAACCTCTCTATTGCGAGCAATATATATGCTATTATTTACAGGCAAGACGAGAAAAAATACAACATATTATGTGCATTGAGTTATTATAAACAACCATGGGATACATAAAAGACAGTAGATGGGCTAGGCATGCATATAAAAACATGTGTCATTATATTTGTGTCAACAGCCACGTCATAATACTGAATCATGTCAATACATATCGATTGACCTATGATGAAAAACTGTAAATTGATAAATTGTTGAAAATGAGATAAAGAAACTGAAAATCTCTTAATAATAAGCACTTTTGGGCCTTCACTCAAGAGTACTGATTTTACTGCATATAACTTGTCACGTTCTTTAATAAGCTTTTTTTTTGTGTTCAGTCGAGAGAATGAAATTTGAAAAAAATTCTTTAAATAAAAATTACTACATAGATATATATCACAACAGTTCGATTATTGAGATTATTTATGACAAAGGTTAAAAAACATTTCAAACATAAAATGCTTGGTTTTTTTTCTAATTGAACTGAATTATTCAAATAATTTCATTTGTATCTAATAACACATCTATAATCTTCAATATTCACAATTAAGAATTTATTAACCGTTTGTCAGCTTTTATTTTCACTTGAAAAACTAAATATGATCAAGCAAATAAATATGCATATCATTCTTCTATTTAGACGATCTATACAACTACCAATCAAACATTTATGCTATAGTTGATCGTCACGATACCCGTCGAAAGCAAACATTTGAGTTCACCTATACCGTCCGCTTATGTTATTCTATTTCGTTTTCCATTGACTAGTCTGAATGCAATCTATAGACAACGTCAATTAGAAATTGCTAGCATTTAAAGGGACGTTTTAAACAGTTCAATACATATTTTGCAAGATATTTTCGTACAAGAAAGTTCAATGATAACAGGTAAGCAATACCTTTTATATGACTTGAAGAATATATAAATAAAAGATTGTATTCTAATATCGAATATCAATCGATAAAATCATCTATTAGTGTGCTTTAAGAATCGACAATACACGTAGTATGATCTCTTAGAGAAATGTGAAGATGTTCTATTGTCAAAGCAGAATATATTTTGTACTTCGAATGTGATTGATGAGAAAATATTTTCAAATTGCAATTTTAAATTCAATCTAATAATTTATTACTGTTGAATTACTATATTTTATTAGAATTTCAAATATTTGACTTATAAAACTTTTTTGTATAAAGATAGATTTTTTAAAATTTTTTAATTATTTCCTAACCGAAGAAAATCATAATAATAAACAACTATATTCTTATTTCATAGATGGCGTTTATTTAAAATAATAATTACTATTGGTTAATCATATAATCATCGCTTTGTTTTCTATAGTTTTGACCCGAACAGTAGTCATTTGACTAAACTTTTTAATATTTCAATAGTTAATATGTTTTATGTTTTTTGTGTTAGATTGTATAACAATGCCATCATATCCAAGTCCAATACCAGCACCTATATATGATTCTGATGAATCTAGTCAACATTCAAATGATAGTAGTAATTATTTATCATCAACATTTAATCAATATACACGTTTATCATATTCACCAAAATTTAATTTAAATACAACAAATCAAATATTACCAATATCAATAAATTTTGATGATAATGAAGATAATTTTATTAATATTAATATTAATACAACAACACCAACAAAAATATTAAATTCAAAAAAATCTAAAAAACGTAAACATACAAATAATAATGTATATGAATATCAAACACCAAATCAATCACCATATACAAGACGTAAAAATCTTGATTATGTACAACAACAACAAATAACAATACAAACACCTAAAACTCAACGTCGTTCACATTATAAACAAAATCAATCATCAACTAATAATAATTCATCATTAACATTTTCAAATTTAATTAATATTAATCCATTTAAAACAAAACATCATTATTATACACGTCTTGTTGCTAAAAAACAATCATTATTAATACCATCATTAAAAAATTTATTTATACAACGTTATGAACAAGAATTTCATTATGAATTATGTCTTGGTTATGGTGAATATTCATATGTTTATTTATGTAAAAATCGTCTTGATGGTTTAAATTATGCTATTAAAATTTCAAAAAATTCACTTATTGGTACATGTTATGAACAACAAGCATGGCGTGAAATATGTGCATATGCTAGTTTAACAACACATGAAAATTTAATACGTTATTATTCAGCATGGATTGAAAATGATGGAAAATTTTTTTTACAATTAGAATATTGTAATGGTGGTTCATTAGATGAATTAATTGAAAAAAATCGTTTAAATAATAAATATCTTAATGAAGATATATTACAAGATATACTTCATCAATTATCTGATGTATTAACATTTATGCATAATAATGATTTAGCACATTTAGATATTAAACCATCAAATATAATGTTATGTTATAATATAAATAATGAAATATTATATAAATTAACTGATTTAGGACATGTTAATCAAATAAGTTTATGTCAAATTGATAATGATGGTGATTGTCGTTATTTACCATTAGAAATATTACAAAAATCAAATATAAATAATTTATATTTAGATAAATGTGATATTTATTCATTAGGTTTAACATTATATGTTTGTGGAACAAATTATATTATGCCTAAACAAGGTAATGAATGGCAACAAATACGTTTAAATATTTCAAATTATTTATATACAATTACACAATGTTCAAAACAATTTAATGAACTTATTATTGAACGTATGTGTAATATTGATCCTAAACGACGACCATCAGCTTATGAAGTAAGTCTAATAAAAAAAAAACTTAAGATTTATTTCGTTTGTTGTTGATAAGATGTATGTAGTAGATTAATTACATAGTCAATAGTACGAGCTTAATATATTGACATTAGAACATTTATATATGATTTAAGACTTTGAATCATCACGTTTATAATCGATTTTTATGTCAAACCTATGAATAATAGGTGGTGCAAAAGTTTTCGAACAAAATATCGCTTCATTTTTTATCGGCCATATCATAACATGTTTTGGAAAAATACCTATTCAAAATCTACGTTGAAAGCACTATCTAATTGTATGTTCAAAAAAAATGTCTAGAATGTCTTGACTTTCAGTAACGGCCATATACTCAGATGATACTAAAATGTATTACAGCTGTTAAAAAACAACTGCGGCAGAAGGAACAGTATTTTCTACCAGATTCATAGAGAATTAAACGACGAATGTAATGAAAAGAAAGAGTAACAATATAGGAGATATTTGAAAAATACGGAATCATTATGGGTTGCTTTTTATTAGAGTACGTAGACGTTATTCAAAGGTAAGATATCATAGAAAGTACTTTCAACATTGATTTTGAATAGGTATTTTTTATTTGTTGTAGCCGAAGCGATATTTTTGCACTACCCGTTATTTTCAAAAGAAATTGAAAAATAGATCTAATAGATATATAATAAGAAAATTATTCTAAACAATCATTGAATTATGAGTATTTGATAAAATTTAAACGATAGTGTTATACAATATATTTCTCAAATAAGTATATTTTAAATATATCCTTTAGAGTAATTATCAAAGAAGGAACAATACTTTTATTTTATGATAGATTCTATAGATCTCTATTTTTTTTTTTTTTAGTTATTACTTGATCCTCAAGTTAATCCAGCAACACCAACAAGTCGTGAATATTTACGGTATATTTTGATTAATTAATTAAAAAATATAAAATAATTCTTTTCATTATTTTTAGACATAGTTTAAAACAAGAACGACAAAAAAATTTATTATTAAATAGAAAATTATTTAATCAATTTCTTTTAACAAATACATCAGATCTTCAAATATTACCTACATATAATAATGATATTAATAATAGTGATTTACAATTACAACAAAATTTTCATTCTCCAACACAATTAACACCAAATAATAATAATAATAATTCACGAATATTATCAATTAATACACCTGGTTGTTCGACAAATATTAATCAATCAATTACATCACCTATATCTTGTTCAACATTAACAATGAAACAACAAGTTAAATTATCCGGTACAAATATGGGTCGTTGTTATTCAAGTATTATTTAAATACAAAACATTAATAGCCATATATATATATTAAACATTCATCATTATTATAAGAAAATATTTTGAAATTTTCCTTTTTCAAATTATGTAATAGTAAAAATGTTTTCTATACATTTATCTTTCTTTTTGTGCTTAATCTCATATCTAGTCCTTAAAAAATTTCTGATCATTGTATATGTGTGATTTTTTTTTTCAAAACAAAAAAATATAAAGTAAAAATAATTGTTGATACTATTATTAATAAAGTTGATTTTCTACTATATATATATTTTTTTTTTGGTGTTGTTAATCATAAAGATGTATCATTGAATATTTTCGTGTAACCTGTTTTTTTTTTGTTTCTAGCCATTAAGTTGTTTGATTATCAATCATTAATGTATTGATTTCGTTTTCTTGTATTCGATTAACATGTGTTTTTCTTTTTTTTTTTCAAAATATTGATATGATAGTAACGATAGTATGAAAAATAAGTTTTCTCTTTGTTTTTTTGTATATTTTGAAGATGAATGTGATACAGATGATTTAGATTTTGGTTAGTTGTGCATTTACTTCTTTTTTTTTCTCTTTGTATGTCATAGTATATTTATATCTCATCAACATTTTTCATTATATCTATTTTTTTTTGTCTTTTTTAAATTGAATCAAATGAAATGAAATAAGACTTTTTCTTAATTTTAGATAACAACAAAAGATCATGACAAATCTTAATCTTTGGATTATTGGTCTGATTTCCATCATTATAGTAATCTATTTACTTACTCAATATGTTCTCAATGAAAAACAAATTCATATGCTCAAATATACATTATATGTGACTGTTATTATGTTATTATCAATAATACTCATACCAATATTTCTAATACGACCACGTAATGTATTAAATATACGTCTAGGTGCACGCATAATGAATCCTATATTTAATTTATTGGGTATAAAATATCGTATTGAAAATGCCAAAGTGTTAGATAACGATGAATCATGTGTTATTGTTGCAAATCATCAATCATCTATAGATTTTATTGGAATGATGCAACTTTGGCCTGAACATATTCGATATTGTACAATATTAGCAAAAAAAGAATTATTTTGGGCTTTACCATTTGGTTTTACAGCATGGTTAGCTGGTCTTGAATATATTGATAGAAAAAGTCGCGAACGATCAAGTGAAACAATGCGTAATTTAACTAAGAAAGTACAACATAAATCATTAAGATTATGGGTCTTTCCTGAAGGTAAATATTGCATTAAAATTCAAAAATATTAAGTGTATCGTTTGTTTTTTTTGTTTTTGTTTCGATAATAGGAACACGAAGTATGAATGATACATTTTTGCCATTTAAATTTGGTGCTTTTCGTCTTGCAATTGAAGCTCAAGTTCCTATTGTACCCATTGTTTTTTCATCTTATAAATCACTTTATAATGCTAATAAAGAAAAGAAAAGTTATTTTTGGCGTCGAGGTTATGTTACAATTAAATGTCTTGAACCAATTGATACTAAAGGTATGACAATTGAAAATGATCTTCAACGATTAACTGAAATGACTCGACAACGAATGATTGATACATATGAAAAAATTCAAACAAAATTTGAGAATGATAAAAAAGATAATTAACAAAATTGATAATCGAAAATATGTATATATGTAATTGTGTTTCTTTTTTTTCCAAGTCATGAGAAGTCAATCAAACAATGAACGATTTTTGCTTGCTTTTTGTTTTTTGTTATTTTTATCTTCTTACGTGTGTAGTTTTTCTCTTTATTAAAAACAAAAAAAAAAACGAACAAGTATTCAATAATCTTTCTTGGATTATTTTGTGTGTCTATGTAATTCATTTAATATAAATTAAACTGCATCTGTTTATTTTTTATTTTATCATTGATAATAATATTATATTAATAAAAATATGAAAAAAAACTATAAAAATTGTTAATTTTAAGAAAGAAATGATACGACAAAAAATATTATTCTATCAATGATGGAACACTTTTCTTCATCATCATTTTACTTAGAATCTTTTAAACTTCAATAAGATATTAGTTCATATATAATAACAAGATGTTATTGATATACGGTTTTTATTCGTATATGAGCAATGTCTGTCGCGCTCTGTATGTGTAAGATAACATCAGAGCTTTTTTTTTTGTGAGATTATTATCAACGAAATCGATGTGTGTCAATATAAAATTCGATTAGTGATTATTAGACATGCATGAAGCATCAAAACTAGTAGACCCTATTTCACGTTACATCTTGTGACATATTTTATTTTTTAATACAAAATTAATATGCAAAGTGCGGCTATTATACTTGGGTCATCCGTTATTTTGGATGAAAAGAAATGAAATCGAATGGTTATTTTCGAAATATTATTTGATGGTATTACAATTAGTTTGCTTTCACTTTGATGATTAATCATCATCATCATTTATATTGCTTTTCGATTTCGTTAGAAGTATCGTTCATGAATCATAAGGAACAGAGATGAAACATAAATTGCTTAATGTTATTATATTATGGTGCAAGTCAGTTGGTATAAACTAAATAAAGTCTCACCATAACATTCTATAATGTAGATGTCAATAAATGTTCTATGTATAAATTAATCTAAAGTAAAAGATTTTATATTTACAGATGAGTAAAAAGGAAAAGAAATCTCGTCAATTAGTACATAACAGTGAAACAACAGCGTCAGTACAAGAAACTGATATTGAAATCAAGTAATATATATCTATGTTTTAAATATCGTTTCTGACATATTTTGAGAGAAAATCAATTTTTTTTTTTAAATAAATATTGATTATCAATTAATTTTTAATTTTTATTGTAAAGATCAACATCTTCATCGATTATTAAAGGTGTATGTGATGATAATTTACTTAATGGAACATGTAAAAATTTGAATTGTAATCAATTACATCTTACAGAATCTATTCAACTTACTGATGGTCATTTTCATGATCGATTACTTAAAGAAAATTGGTCATGTGCTATTGAACCATTAAAAAATATCGAGCAATTTATTGGTATTACCAATATTCATAAATCTTCTATGTGGAATAATACTCTTTCCATCGTACCGGAATGTCTTAATTCAAAAGTATGTTTCAAATATATAACACAAACTTTGTTCTTTCTAAGTTATTATAATCTTTATTTATTCGTTTTTATTTTAAAGATTCGACTTTATGAATCATATGGTATTCATCCACGTTATTTAGATGATGATCCATATAATGATTTACTTAATCTTCGTAATCTTATACAAACACGTTCAATGATAGCTGTTGGTGAATGTGGTCTTGATTTACTTAATAATGAACAATTATTATTACAAACTGAAATATTTGTATCACAAATTAAATTAGCTAATGAATTTCATTTACCACTTATTATTCATTGTCGTCAATTAGATCAACAATTATTTGATATTCTTAAAAAATATGCATTAGATTCATCAATGAAAATTCAATGGCATTGTTGTCATTCTAAAGGTGAATTAATTTATCGTGAATTTTTAAATTATTTTCCATCAAGTTTATTAAGTATTGGTGGTATGTGTTGTCATACAAATGAAAAAAATATACAAAAATTAATAAGAGAACTATATGAATTAGAAAATAATACAAATCAACGAAGATTTGTATTTGAAACTGATTCACCTTATTTAAAATCATCATCATTATTAATTAATACAGAAGATAATTGTCCAATATTAGGAACATTAACAGTGAGTGCTTATATAACAAAAAATATTTTGAAAAATAATCAATGGACAAATAACTTAAAAATTAATACAACTATTCTTCAGAAGTTTTTTAATTTAACATAAATTTTTCTTTTTTTATCTCATTTGTATTCTTAAAAAGAATGATATTTTTATTTTAATAAACATTTCGAAATTAGCTAACGATTATTGTTTCATGCATTTTTGAAAACTTGATGATGAAAAGTGTCAGACTTTTATGATTGATTGGGTGTGAGTGTCACTATCGATACGAGCTACATCTACACCCACACAGTCATATCCTTTCTAGTGTATTTTTTCATGTTGATTTCAAATATCATACTTATTTTACATAAAAAGCAACTATTGACAATAAATAACCTCGAAATAGTTTTTGCTAAGACCAATAGTGTTCAAGGTCTCGTTGAATGATTTTATATCTTCACATTACCAACAACAAAAAATAGTGAAACGAAAAAAAAATGAGCAGGGTGGGTATAGCCTATGAAAAAAGCATCTCTTACTTTCTTGGTTATCCTTAAATATGAACATTTAACATTTTATGCTGTAAGTGTTGTGAAAAACAATATTTTTTTTCTCATATCTCGTATCTCGAGATAGGAAGAACCCACAACTAGATCCAAAACTATCAGAATAAACTAGTTTCATTGAGACCTTTCTCTGTACAAAGTTTCAAACCGAAAATCGAAAATTGATTTTTCAGATCAACCTGATGGGAACCATGGTTTTTGGCTAAAAAATGCCATAAAAATTCAATATCTCGACAGAAATAGGCTAGGAACACGAACTTTCCCCAGGATGTTCACAGTTTATTAGAGCTTACATAATCCACACAGTCTTGACTCAAAAGCCATTTGGCAACTTCGAGTTGCTCCTTATCCCCTTTTTCTGTCCTTTGTGCCCCACACTCTTACATACTGAATGCAGTCACATGTCATAGATGGCAAATATTAATGCGTAGATAATTTTTGTTATCTTAGAGCTCCACATATCATTACTTTGTTAAGTTATCTTTGTCATAGAGTTGATTCAATTCGATATGACGCTCTGCCAGCGAGTAAAAGAGTCATCATTTCATTATTTTTATTTATTGATGATTACAATTAAAAGCACAAAAGATGAATACTTTGATCGAGTTGCCGTATCATCTCGACATCTGTATCTTCAGTCAACATCCTACTCTTTACATGCATCTACCATCACACCCATCGTATAGAAAGACAAGTTTATAAGAGTCTCTCGAATGAAAGAGTTCATTTAATTGCTTTTATGAATGTTTTTAATATGTTCATCTTTTTCAAGCCACTCAATTGAACAGTCGAAAATAGCAACGAAGAGCATTTGAACCATGGTAAACTCGTTTCGGATTGAACCACCTTCCTTGGTGATTTTTTCCTTGATTCTATAATCACAATTAAGCTAAAACTTGTCAGAAAACAAAAATAAAGTACCTGAGAATTTCCGATGGAGATGTATTGTCCTTGAAAGTGATCATGTAATCTTGAGGCACTACTTGCTCCGAGGGAAGAGCAGTCATCCAACCAAGGCACGGACGTAGTGCGCCTGTTTCTGGATTCTGGGATATACCAAGAAAGCCTGCAATCAGTTTCATTTTCGTCTCATATCCATTATCATTTAAGACAAAATCTGTTTGAGTGATACTTTCTTCTAGATCTCCAAAATCGATTCCAGAATATATTTTCTTGAAGAGTTCGTATGTTAAAAATAAATTCATCTGTGTTCAGACTCATAGAAAAATCCATACCTGTTCGCTCATATGAATCTCACGACGAGCTTTACAATAGCCTCCACTTTTGTCTGACTTGTACTAAAAGAGACATAATTTAGTCCTTAAAAAACACATAGATGATCATTTTACTGTAGAATCGATATTCTGAAAGTAAGTTGGGAATTTTTTCCTGCTTGGATTAATGTTAGATTTCACTCTTGTCATGACGTACCTAATTTCTTTTTACTAATGTTAATATTATTTCTCGATTATAAGACCTATACGTATTCATTATTCAAGAGGAAAATATCAATGAAAAAAAAAATCACGATTTACTAATAATATGATTTGAACTATTGCAAAACACTAAAAATCTGTTAGACTTCATAGCAGGATTATCGTTTTAATGTATCCTGATATATCATCTATTTTGTTATAATTTTTTCGGCCATTGAACACGTATGAGAATGCAAATGCACATGATAAGGAAAACTATTTCAAGCAGCTTCACAGGATGGAGTAAAGTTTTCATTCTGAAATTTTTATTTGCTCAGAAAAATGTTCTATTTTTTAAAAGACATATAGATAAAACACTTACTGGAATAAAGTCTGCCAGCCATCCCATTAAAAGATCAACACCCGACATATTGTTGTTTCGATGACAAATCTTTTGCCACCAATCGATATCAGCATTGCCTTCAGCACTTTCCTTTAACTTGTTAATATGAGGTAGCAAGGCATCAAACCACCAATGAAAATCGGTGAAAAATATTTTCAATTGTTGAACTCGATCAATCAATTCTTGAAAATCACCTGGTGTTCCACGAAGTGTTACTTGGGGAACTATAAAATATAATAAACAAAGAATGAATCGTTTACATTGTTGTGCATTGATTTCAGATAGAGCATAGTATCTGGCTGTGAAAAAAGAATGTTTAGTAATTTTCTAGTAAGAAGTTTGTCATATTGATTTTATAGGAAATGTTTATAGAAGGAAAAATCGAGTAGTTTACATGCAATTCTAGTCTGCAAAAATCATCAATCGCAAATTGTAATGTTCTCACAAAATAAAACAAGCTCTACTCATTAGCCTTAATGTAAAATTAAAAATAATACTCACTTCCACAGGTCAATCCAAATCCATAGGAATAGTAGGATTTGACGGTATCCATAAGAGTACAGTCGAATACAGCACCTTCGACATCAGTAGTACTCGAGAATCGTTTTGTCATTAATGTTGTTAAGTCAGCTTTCATATCTTTTTTAATCAAGTCACACATTTCACGTACAGCTAATGGCCAGTTAATGGCTGGAACTGACTGATTTCCATTTGCAGGTCGATCTGATTTTGGAATGCGAAGATGATCAACAATTAACATTAATTCCTTCTTGCCCTCATGTTCGACGAGAAGATGACGAAATTTTTCAGCATTTTGGTTCAAATGAATACTAACACCTTGTGCAATGGCGACCCAAAAATCTTCGACAGATAATTCAAGTGGATAATGATCACAATATGCTTTGAAAACTGTAGCTACGAAAGCATTTTTCACACGGTGATTCAGATCTTTGATCATTGGATAGTTTGTCTGTCCATTTTCGAAAGATAGTATTTCTTTGATTTTTCTATTTGATTTATTGGACCATCGGTCGAGATCTGTCGATGAAAAGTCTCTTGATTGAACATGTCGAGTTGTGCAAGGTTCAATAGTGTTGCTCACTTGAAAAGTAATGGTTGTAGGAGCAGCCATGTTCTGTTACGCCAAATAATATTGATAATTACTAAATACAAGAAAGATGAAGATGTGACAAAAGAGGAACAAATCTTGTTTGCCCACGATTCTATAAAGACAGTCAAAAAAGAAAAGAGTACCAAGCATACTTTTATACCAACAAGGTAAAGATGAAAGGTTATCATGCTTTCTCTGTGCATGTTCTGTTCTTGAGATGTGATGTGATGACTACTGTGGTATTCATATATGCATATCTATCTGCCATTATATAGCGTCGATTAGTTCCCTGTCGGGAACGCTCGAATTTCTATTGAAATTCATATGAGAAAGTTAGAAATACTTTCCTAGTATTTCGAAGATTTTCAGTGTTTTTTTTTTGTAATTTATCAAGGTTTTGTCTAGCTTCTCTGAGTGATAAAAAGAATAGATATGGGCTTCCTTTTCTATGGTCTACTGCATCTTTCTCAAAACAAAATAGTTGTACGGTCTTCATATGACAATACATGTAAAATTTATAAATTCCGACAGGTTTTGATGTGTTTTCTAGTGAAATTCGAGTTTTAGTCTAAATTTCGGTTTAAATATATATACACCAAAAATCTGATGCATTGCTCCCATCATACATAAAATTCATACTTTTTCACAATCAATATCTGACTAAACTCTTAGGCACATCAATAGACAACTGTTTATTTTTTCAATGTTCAATTATTCACTCAGAAACAAGTTTTGTCCAATTATTTTTTTTTTCAATATTTGATTTATGGGGGTCAGAATGGTAGAAATTAGTGTGATCAGTTGAATTTTTTTTTAAGATATGATTTAATTTTCTTTTAGAAAATTACAAGAACAAGATTCAAAATTCTATCCAGAAAAATGTGCGAATATATATAAACTATAATTTTAAAATCAGTAAATAATCTATATGACTTATTTCAAGCTGAAATCAAAAATTTTTCTACGAGCCATCGATAACACTATAACATCAGAAGAATTCAATGTTTACGACTAAAATTTCGATTACAGAAATTATAACCAAAGAGCTCGTAATGGTAAAAATTTGACTAAAAATAAACATGAAGTAAGAAAATATCGTTCTGAGAAAACCTTCTTAACAAATGTCTTCGTCTGAAGCATTTCAAATTCACTAAATGCTTTCGAATTTGCTTACTTTCGTTATTGGTGATATTACTCGTCAACTTTCTTATCAAAATATGATTGCTAGTGTAATATTGTGTGTCTTTTTTCTCTTATATGTGTGCACATGTGTTTAATAATGCACGAAGCAACTTCCTTTGCTACAAAATGATCGTTAAATTCTTCGCACAGGTGACTATTGCCTTCTATTTTTACACTTTGTCTCTCCTTACATACGCGTCTATCGATTAAATGTCGTTCTGAGTTGCTTTCTTTCGATAAAATGGATTGATGAATTAGAAGGTCTTACTCATTCATGATGCTTATTTGTTTAAGATAAAGAAAAAGGCTTCAGCATACAGTTATTAAAAGCAAGCAAAGGGTCTCGTGCAAATTTTTTCCGTGTTTTGAAATATGAGAATGTAAATTGATCTTATCTTCACTCGTTTTTACATTAGAGGTCATCACTGTTATATAGAAAAGAGCCCCAAGTTTGTTGTTAATCAAATATGAAAACAAAAAGTTATTTTTTTTAATAAAACGTATAAAATAACTAGGCAATAATGTTTGATATCATCTTTCTCAATATCTTGAAGTGTGGGTGTCAGAATGAGTGTGAGCCGAACTAGATGAACAGCTAATCTACATCCACCCACACCCACTTATAATAAATGTTGTCATTGCTTCAATATTCGAAGATGAAAATTCTAATCAAATCGGTTCAAAAATTGATTCTTTAAAAATTCTATGAAGAATTCGATTATATCTTGGACCTCAAAATTCTCGCAATGATAAACTAAATATTGGAAAATTGGTAGATGATTCAAGTGAATATTTATTACGAGTTACACTTTCAATCAGAATTATTTCAATATCAAGGAAATATGTTATTGTTATTGTTGATAAATAAAACATGAAAATTCTGGAATAAGTAACTCCGATTTCACATCTCCTAGACAATCGATAAATTCAATGATTTATCAATATTTTACTCAGGCATAATATTATATAATATGTTATAGGCCATGAATTTTTCACTGTTTGTTTAGGTAATATTAGAAAATAAATCCAAAGAATTTTTAATAAAAATGATTGAAATGTTTCTCTTGGAAACAATGTCAAAGCCATTAAACGTATTGACATTAACCAACATATTGATACAGTTAATATTGAAAATGCATTGAATCGAGGATGATTTTGACAAGTAATTGAAATTAATAATATACATAAAAGAAGTGTTAACATGATTCAAGCTAATTTTTTCGAAATCGTACCAATCACATAATTACATGTGATTATACACAAAAACCAGCCTGTAAATATAAATACAAACGATGCCATGCTCCCGATGAGTTTGATATTTGACTTATTTTTGAAATAAACACATTCGTTATATATTTCTTCATCGATGTTCATCATTTCGTTTTATAACGCTGCCTGTTTACTTAAAAAAGACTAGTCAAGCGAAATGCAGAATTTAAACTGAAAAATAGGACGAAAAAGATCGCAACTAACGAAATCGGATTGTTCACGAATCATGTAGATCGAAATTATTTATTTAATGATAATCAATATCAGTATCTAATTGACAAAGATCATTTTGCATGAATTATATTATGTGAAACAATCAACGTTGATAATTGTTCGAATTAATGATACACAGATGGCTGTACTTTGTGACTTATTCTGCCTGATAGACTTTTGCAAGTAAAATACAGAAATGTTGCAGATTCCACTGTTCACTGTACAGTGATTTTATATACGATAATATAAGGAATAGATGAAAGTATCAAAGAGAAAGAATGATGACGACTACGAAACTCAATGCGTGAAGATTCGGTGAGGATGAACCATGTGGACAATTATCTGCACTGGTAGCAATTCTAATCTAGAACAAAGTATATTTAATTATAGAGCATTGAGGAAAAATAAGTTTCTATTTTTTGTGCTGTAATGATTTGGACAATTCAATCAAACAAGAAAGCAAAGCTGCACAAAACACAAATGACATTCAATATCAGAACACGACTTTTTCTTCACGGGTGCATTTTTACTTTAAATATACTTTACATTGATTGGTGTAAATTACACACATCACAGGATGAGGGTAAGAGCGCTGTGATAAGTGTGTTTAAAGTAAGTGTTTTCATTTTTGAACAAAGAATCAAGATCATAATATTATTTGAATTAGAAAAACTTATCTATTCAAGAGTAGGCTCGAACGAGCTGTTGCCAAGCTGGAAACGCCTTCAAATATATCACTCGCAGGAATCATCTTCAGTACTATCTGTGAGAGCTTGACGATATCCGAGGAATTATGAAGATCGTACAACAATTTTTGTTGCCTGATTTTATAAGTATTTATTGATGAGCAATATTATTCTTGTAATAGATTTCCTCACAAACAACTTAGATTGAGTTTTCATAGAATGAACATAATACACAATGATAAAAAAATCTATTTTTCCGAAAGTTCAATTTGTTCCTCTGCTTTCTTCAGCTGATTTTCTGAGCTTGGTTTGAACATTGTTAATCGTGCTAATCGATCTAAAAGTTCCTTCTCGAATCCATTTCTATCGACTTTCATTAAAACTAATGTTTGTAATGGTCTTCCCCAGCGACCAGTCCAATCAGCAACTGTTTGACCTGAAGTTAATCTCCCGCTATCTTCGACATCCACACAAGCACGTTGACCTTCGAATAGATCTGGCCTAATCAAATACATTATCGCGGTTGGATCATTGAAGCACGGTGGATCATTCCATGAACTTAAAATTTCTGTATAATGTGTGGTTATATCAAAACAAAATTGCCCAATTGCATGCAGTTTTCTGGTTTTTTCCCGTATTTCTTGACTTAATGGAAGTTGACGAGTGCAATTTAATCCAACCATTGTTATATCATTAAAAGCATCAAATACAATTCGTCCTGCATGTGGATCGTTTGCCAAGTTAGCTTCAGCTGCAGCTGTTTTATTACCAAGTCCTCCGACAGAACCACCCATAATAACTAGTCTTTTAACAGATTTAATAAAGTTCTCACCACCAATTGATACAGCTAATGCAATATTTGTTAACGGACCAATAGCACATATTGTTATTTCTCCTGGATTGGCAAGAACATGTTGCACAATAAATTGTGCAGCACTGTAATCTTTGTATTTTTCAATGGGATTTTGATTTAAGTCTTTTACTGGACGTTGTATATTTCCAAGTCCATTTTCTGCATGTACTTTAATTCCTGAATGACCATGATAAGCACAAGCAATTGGTTTCTTTACACCTTTAATTACAGGAATGTCTGAACTCATATTACACATTTGTAATAATAAACATGCATTATTTGTAAGTAAATCAATATCATTGTGATTACCCATTACAATTGTAATAGCATCAATCTTTATTTTATCTGGTGAAGCTAATGCTAAGAATATTGCAATTGAATCATCAACACCAGGATCACAATCTAAGATTATTCTTTCACAGGCCATATTGATTCTTGCTCTTAATATTAAATGCCACCTAGGAGAAAATCTAGAAAAAAAACCACGTTGTTGGGCTCATTTACGAACCTGGGCTTAATGCATCTAGTAGACATTAGTGAACTACGTCTACTATAAAAAGAGTTCGCGCATCTGACATGTTCCTGAAGAGATATCGAGTTTTTAGTGGAGTTTCTCTACAGTAACCCACTTTTGCAACAAAGCAATGTTTTGAAACTTTGATCTAACACTTTATCTACAAAAAGGCATCAGCAAGACCAGCATGCATAAAAAGTTTCAGAAGTTTTTGGACAAAGTATCTTCGAGATATGGAACTATCAAGGGGCAGATACTTTTTCATAGATAGTATACATAGTATGCAATTTTTGAAAGCGTCGTATCTCGGAAAGACTTTGCCAAACATTTCTGAAGTTTGTTATCCAAGCTAGTCTAGCTATAATGCCTTTCTGTGGGCAAAGTTTCGAGTCAAAATTCAAAAATATAGCTTGAATGTAAAAGTGGGTTACTATAGAGAAAATTCACTATAATAAGCCCTGGTTTGAAAGCAAACAGACACCAGGGAATGTTCCATTGTTAGCTTCAATATGGAAGAAAAAAATATGGCATACATATCATTATCTATATACGCACACTCATGAGACCTATCGATGCGAATTTAAATATTGCTATTTATAGACTGAAAATCTGGGGTCTGACGATGGTACTTAAATCGTTTTGTCTCTGTGTTCGTCTGTCTGAAGTACGGTTTTGAAATCAGTGACTGTCTTATGTAAAGGCATTTTTATTTTTAATTTTCCACACACATGCATCAAGAACATATAACTTTTTTAACCTTAGTGTTCACTTCTGTAAGTTTCGAGACTATACTCGACGTTGCAACAAAGATAATGTCGGTATGACAGACATATGACTAGAAGATTTTCGGATTTGTTTTTGAGCTGTGCGCTTCCTCTTGCTACTTATATTTAGCTCCTTTTTGTCTTTGGATTATCAGAGTCTTTTTAAACTTTTATTATGCGATGTCGAACATTTGCTAGATTTGGAAAGAATTTAAAGTTCTGACGTTCATAAATACATCGTTTCACCTGAGGCTTCGAGGTATTGTCAATGTCACAGTCTATAATAGACATTCTATGATTATTTTTCGATCCATGGAAATTTAGACTTTCTTGACGATGAATTTTTGGATTTTAGGATCGTGGAAGTGCAGATTTTCAGAATATCGTCTTGTTAAACCACGACAGTTTGGACTTCAGCCAGTGTAATCTTCATTATTTCCCAAGGACTTTCGAATTTTGAGGTCATCTATTTTTCTCTTTCGCAATGTGATATATTAGTCTCTATCACGAAACGTTATATACAACTGGAAACGATTCTCTCTGGACCTTACGGCAAATTCTGACGAAGATAAGAAGTAACTTTTCTCGATGTAAAACTGTTCTATTGTATTTCACATTTGAATTCTGATGGGATTGCACTAAAACCTTTTGATCATTTTACAAACATTTTCACTAGAATTAATGCTCATCTTTCAGTCGAGCCTCAAGTCGATTGACAGTCTCTAGTTATCAAGCCAAAATTCAGATCTCAACTGTATGTGTAAAATAGTACTAGATCTACTCGAAACTGTTGATTTTGTTACTAAATGATTCACCGTGCAAGTTCGAGTCTACTTCACTACGTTATGATGGAAATAAAAATTGGCTCAAAGTCCATTTGTATGTGCATCGTCATTATGTGACGAGAATCCAATCTGAATCGAAATTTTTCCGCTATAGATAGATGTGATAATGCTTTGAAAAGATATTTGCACAAGATTTGAGCTTCAGACGTACCATTTTGAATTAATTCTATTCAGTAAAGAACCACTCACCTTCCAGTTAACGTTGATGGAGAAATGCATTTGTAGTTATATAGGAGGTGAAGTCGAACCGTTATATAAAAATATGAAAAGAGAAAAGATAAGGATGTGATACATCATGTCGTAAAAGCTTGCGAGAATTCTTTTTTGTCATTTTTACCAGTTATATCGTCAGCATGATGTAAATGAGAGAGGTTAGTCATAGATATGAAAACGTGAGCCTAAAGGGTAAACGAGTTATTTGTGTCATAAAACATGCCTTGGGACGTTGCTGTGGGTGTGGGTGCGGTAGACTGCAGAAGAACAACCCACACGCACACCCACAAGTCAATTTTTTCTAGAGGACCGATTTCACCGTTTAACTACCTTCCCTCCTTAAAATTGTTAAGATTGAAGGCTTTTTAACTGTTTCTTATTTCTACTCTGAATCATAGTGGTCTAAAAGTAAATGCACTGACAACTCAATATTCTAGGAAACGACATTCAAATACTTGCACTGCATCCTCATGGTTGATCTGAAACATCGAGATCTCACAGATTCATTTCTATCTAGTTTTGTTAACAAAATTGGAAGTGCAAGAGCTATTTCTGCAGTACAGACTAATAAACCAATGACGAATCCAGCTACTTCAAGATACGAGCAACAATAATAATTTCTAAAATAATAATACAATCGTTAGAAATGAAGAAGAATCAGCATGAAATAACTGACTTTTGTCAATCTGTTTCTTGACGTTTTTGTATCTTTTCCCATCATCATCATCGCTATCTGGTCGTTGTTAACTAGAACCTGGTAATGACCAAAGATTATACCGTTTTGTGTTCAGCACAAAATGATGTTTTTTACGTAAAAGAGAAAACACTATCATGCACTTAATAGGTCTAGTTGAAATAGCATCTTATGGATTTCTCAAATGACATGTCATCTATTCATTTTCTCCTTAACTTAGTGTATGTTTTATTGAATTTTTCAAGGTCATTTCTTCACTGATCATGTGGCGATTCGGCTCCTTGATTGATCTCAAGCACCTTTCATATAATAGGGGAAGATATAGTAACGTTAATTTATGAAGATTATTAATATTCAGTAAATGGTTTAATGAACATTTTAGAAATGTTATCATCTCAAGATTAATAAGTGTTGCTAACTGCTTTGCCATTTGGCTTAAAAGTGCAAAATGGATATTTAGGAACTTAAGAGTTTTCAAATCTGCTAAAGCATCTGGTATAATGTCGAAATAAATATTCAAAATAAAATTTCTTATATTTAACAGACAAAACGTACCATCTTCCAACGGTGTGAATTAAATTCGTAGTGAAGTAACATTTGATAAACAGCATAGACTTAAAGGAACGAGATGTTCACTCCTAATGGTAATGCTTTCTACAAAAGTACCGTCTATACTCATTTAAGCTGTACTTGTTTCATGATCTTCAAGGGTGTGGGGTGTAGGTATGATATATGGAGAAAAAGAACACACATCCACATCCTTGATGGAATAGGAAGTAAGATGAAAGCATAGTTCTTTATACAATTAAGAATATATTTTTTAGACAGTTTTCTATGCTTCAATTTTCTATTTAGTGAAAGAATTATAATATTATCAACTGCAGATCAAGTTTCGTCATGATAATAACTTATCACATTTGCCGCCCTTAAATTGTCAAGCTGATAACCATATTTGATACGAGAGGCAATACAACTGATCTACCATCAAGTAGAATGAGAATTTCGAACGTAAGTCTATAGAAAAATTCAAGTCAATGAGTTTGACGCAAATGAGTCCTCGCTGATCGAATTAGAAACTCAAGAAAGTTTTTATGAAGATGAGTGCCTTAGCTATTGTGGGATATTGTACTTGTAGATAATAGTATCATGCTTCCGTGAAGCGAATAAACAATCGTTGTGTGGATTTTCAGGTAAATTGAACCGCTGTTTATCGACATTGTCGACGTTTTGTATTCAATGATTTACTTAGTTAAGCACTACATTATGATGGATGTAAAATGAAAAATAAAGGCTACATGATTGCAAAAGTAAATGAAAGAGTCACGAGCACAGCACAGAGAATCGCAGGTTTATCAAGCAAACTCGATTGTGACACCGATCTGCTTTGGTCGAATGGTAATTCTTGTCAAATGTCCGCCGGAATTCAATTCTGGACCACCATCACCAAATGTTACTTTTTGCATTAGCCGTGCCGCTATGACTTTGAACTCGAATCGTGCTAATTCTTGCCCGATACAATAGCGATGACCGCCACCAAATGGAATCAACGCGAACGGTGGATAATTTTTATCTTGGCTGAGAAATCGCTCAGGATAGAAAAGTTCTGGATCAGTCAACCAATATCGAGTGTCACGGGCTAAATTATGAAACGGAATCATCACTGATTCGCCTCTGCATAATTGAACACCACTCGCAGGTAAACGATCATCAGCTACTAGTGTTCGCATAGTTGCACCAATTGGTGGACAATAACGAAGTACTTCATTGGACACACAATCCAAATAGACCAAGGCATCTAGACGATCCAATGAAAGTTCATTCATCGCACCATTTTCGATGAGTTCAGCTTTAATTTTCTGTTGAACTTGTGGATGTTTGCTGAGCAAATGAATAAACCAAGCAACATGTGTCGATGTAGTTTCAAAGCCAGCCATCAGAAAGAACAACATCTCTTGAAGGACTTCTTGTCGTGAAAGACCTATTCAAATAAGAACACAAGAGTAATGATCGTGATAAAAAAAACGTTCGTTCGATATTTTGAGCACCTGTTTTCTCTTCTTCAGATTTAGTTGCTTCGTTTTCTTCATTAGTTTGCAATGATGCAACGAGTGAAGCGATGAGACTCGTTCGCTTCCGTTGTACACGACATTCTTGAGTCTCAGCTAGTTCTTGTTCGATCATTCGATACAGATAGCGTTCGATAGTAGCAGATGCTTTCCGTTGACGACGACTGAATTTTACGTATGGAATCGATATCCATTTAGGTGTGTAAATAATAAATTCGAATGCGCTGGCCAAATCTTGCAATGCTTGAGCGAGTTCATTCGTATTTTTTTTGCTATCATCATCAAGTGATTGTAGATCATAATCAAATCCGATGAAACCAAAGATCGCTAGGAGAAGATTTTGACAATCGTCAACAATATCGGTATGTACTTTTCCATGTGGTCTATCACGCCATTTAGCCAAGAGTTTGTCAGTACAATCGACAATCAAATCGAAATTTTGCATGACCTTGCCTCGACGAAATAACGGAAAAGTAATCGAGGCATGCCGTTTGAACTTGGCACCTATTTTCAAAACAATCATATCAGAAATCATTTGTTAGTTTCACGAAAACATGCAGTTTCATAATCACCTTTAGTACAAATAAGTCCATCAGAAAATAAGATACTGGCCTGTTGAATAAACACTTCTCCTTGTTCATAAATGTGGCGATTGGTAAAAATATGTTGTACATCGACGATATCGTTGATAACAACATAATACGATGGTCCGAGCCAGAATTGGAATATGTCACCATAACGTTGCTTGAACGTCGTCAGTGCTTGAGCTACGGATACGCCATTTGGTATTATACCTGTTTGAATCAAATTTCCAAATAGAAATTGAGGCTCGAGACCAGGTAGGTCTTTACGAGGCGTAAAATATTTCCTTTTCAGATAGAAATAAAGTAAAATAAGTAAGAGTAGAACGAAAACCATGACAAAAGCCATATCGTGATATTATCAATGATAAGAAAAACGTGCCGTCGACGTGTAAACACTGTATTTGACTCAACCAGATAACTGCCTCGTTGTTTTTTTTCTGTTCTTATAATGGTAACATGCGTATGCGTCGCACAATAATACTTTTCGATCAAACCCAAGAGCGAAGAAACGCATTCATAATAAACAAGTTGAACCTATTGCGACCAATAATAACTTCAAAATGAACTTTACTAACCGTAAGCTTGAAAAGAACACTAAAATGTCGTACAAAATTGTGTATATGCAGATATTGATTCGAAATGTGTGCAGGGTTCTCAAGTAAACTATATTAAATTAATATGAATTATCTTCGTGATGTCAGCACACATCGATCGTAAGAAAAGCAACGGTTTGCATTGAATAGTATATTGAATATGTGTTTTTATGCGTAAAACTCATCCCAAGATAATCTTATGCAGACGCGCTTGTATCTGCAGAGAGTGGTCGTTGGCTACGAGTCAAGTGTTCGACAGTATTTTCGAGCGTTACCACGACGTATATCAATTGGCATCATGGTTTAGAACTGAAATAAGTTTCAACTTTAGCAAAATAGACATCCACAAAAAATCATGAGTAGTCAAGATCATTATGTAATCCAATACATACTCGTGCAGGTTATATGTCAGAGACAATACATAATTAATTTTATTCGTTATTGATAGGGATCTTCCGTCAATTTGAACTCTTACTTCCCACAAGGACGTAGGTATGGATATGAATAGCTGTTAACATGAGCTACACTCACACTCACATGGCATCTGCATTCCTTTCTTGACCTATGTAGCACTATTAATTATTTATTTCGGCAGAAATTGTTTTTCTAGACTCATTATAGAATGCAGTCAGAAAACGAAGGGTATTATGGTTTCATAATCCTTCAGATAGTATTGAATTTTAAAAAAAATGATTAGACCATCTTGGCGTTAAGTCAGTCGCTCCAATATCTTGTGTAGAATTTCTGTGTGAGTTATTTCAGGTCATCCTTTATTCTCCCTTGAGATTTAGGTTTTATGTATTTCTTGATATGTCGTTCAACAGTAGCGTCAAAAGTATCCTAGCAATCATCATCACCACTAAACATGCGATAAGCTTCACCCTCGAACCACACTTTTCTCAAAGAACATGATTGGTATTCGATAAATCTAAAAGCCATGGCAATACCAAGCTGGGTGTGGGTGTGAATGTGATTATAAATCTTCGTCTTACCAACAC